AGACTGTGGGGGCAAGTGCTGTTAGCGAGTGGCATCTATGAAGGCCGGCTCTGTGGCACACGGGTGGGTGGTTGTGGTCATCACCACACCCGGCCGCCTTTGTCTCCCCAGTGCTGCTGATTTAGTTTTCTACTTTTTTTTTTACCAGACACCGCACCAGAAACTCAATTTGAGGCCGAGTCGACCTAGAGGAGACCCAGCGCCGGCGTCGTCGGCGGCCGTGGGCGGGTACCGAACTCGGGTGGCGACACCTCGCCTGGCGCCAGCGGCCCCGTGGGTTGACGGACGACGGAGGCTCTCGTCGTCGACGTTGCTGCGTCTCCAACGGGCACTTGCCCCCACAGCGAGTGGAGGCTGCGCGGGTTACCTTTGTCTCGTGCAGTGTTCTTCACTCATTCTCAGAGGAGGGAGTGGCGGGGATTGGTGGAGGTGGACACCTTCCCCAATAAGACGTCATCGGTGTGTTTGTGTGTCCGCTACGACATCTGAAACCATTGGGGGGCTTTGTGACAGCAGCACCCTGATGATGACGATGCGGGTGGAGGGATGGGGGGGGGTCACCATTTGTATATTGTCGGGGGAGGGGGGGGCACGTCAGATGGGTCGCACTAAAGGCCACCAGGGTGGCGGGTGGGGGGGGCCCGCGATTGCCTTGCAGCGAAGAACGCCGCTCTTAAGTGTCAGACTCTCAAAAGGGTTAAGGCTACACGGGGGTTGGGGGGGGGCATCTTCGTCTCATGCGCTGTGGTCGTTGTTCAGAGACGTCCTCCTGCGCTCTCTGTGCGCGACCACCGCCCGCCACACGGCAGCGCTCTGGCCCACGGTCACCTCGGCGTCGAGGTCCTGCTCCACGAGCCACTCGATGCCCGCGGCCGCCAGGGTCTCCGCCAACCTGGCAAAGGGGACGAATTGAAGGACGAGATTAGAACCGCTGCCAGCCGTGGAGCTTCCTTTGGCCGTCACGAATGGTGGAGGCTTGCTCAACGAAGTGGGCTCGTCGTCGTCGTCGTCGATGATGAGCCCAATGCGTAGCAGAAGTCAAACGACTGTGAACGTCGTGGTGACGTTGGATTCTAAATGCGGAGGGGAGATGCCGGAGGACCCGGAGAAAAATCCACGCGACCACGGGGAGAGAGAGAGAGACACCGCAAGCTCCAAATATACAGCAGCAGCAGCAGCAGGCGCCAGGGTCGGGATCGAACCCTCGACCCTCCAGCATACCAGGCGAGGGAGTCAACATCTCGCCATCGTGGCGCCCAAAGACAAAGGTCCCCCGGGTAGCCTTCAACCGGACTCCTGTGGCAAGTGGTGTTAGCAACGAGCGAGAAGCAGCAGCGCCTACGAAGGCTGGCGCGGCACACGAGGGCGTGGGGTGGCCGGCACCACGCCCGCCCGGCCGCCTTTGTCTCCCCCCGTGCTGATGTTCATTGCCCACCAGGTGCTCGTTTAAGCCCGTGTCCACCCACTACCCTCGCCGGCGAGTTACCCTCATTCAAGTTCAAGTTCATTGATTAGGTGTAGCCCTGTGAGCCATTCGGCTCTTGAATCGGGTGCAACCGCAACAAACAAAAAACAAAAACATGAACAAAAAAACATCTTAAAGTGACTATGTGACTGAGTGCAAACAGAAAATTCAAGAAAAGACAGCAAAATATTGCAGAAAAAAACACCGTACACCAACGCAGTGTGCAAAAATCCCAGTGGGATGCAAGTGAAACAACAACAACAACAAGACAACTTAGATTAAGGCCATCAGTCTAACTCTGTACTACAACAAACAAACGTGGCTAAACCAATACACTTTTCGAAAATCACCAAAATAAAGCCATGAAAGTCAACCAACAACAACAACAAGACAACTTAGATTAAGGCCATCAATCTAACTCTGTACTACAACAAACAAACATGGCCAAACCAATACACTTTTCGAAATCACCAAAATAAAACCATGAAACCAATGAAACAGTGATCGTAGGAACTGTGACGGAATTTTCACATTAAATGGCATAAACAACATGTACATTACCCCCCCGCCCGCCCGCCGCCCCATCCGGTGGCGAGTCGCCTTACCCCCAGTGGGCGTCGTGAGCCCCCCTGCGGCACAGCGCCAGGAGGATGAAGCCGTGCAGCGCCAGCGCCAGCGCCGCCAGCGCCCCGCCAGAGCGGCCGTCGAGCAGCGCGCTCAGCCGCTCCTCCTGCGCGGCGCTCAGCGGCTCGCGGTAGCTGTCCGAGGGCAGCCTTGGGAAGGGCTCCTGGCACACGGCGGGGCCGGAGGCGTCACGCGGGTGTTGGTCGGCAGATGTAGCTGCGTCTCTCCTCGGGTGCGTCCGTCCGACTGTCCGTGCGTGCGTCTGTTCGTCTATATGGGTCTCAATGGGTCTTTGAATGCAATCTCTATGGGTCTCTATGGGTCTCTATGTACTTCTAAGTGTCTGTAAGGGTCTATCTCTACGGGTCTCTATGGGTCTCTATGCATCTCTATGTACTTCTAAGTGTCTGTAAGGGTCTATCTCTACGGGTCTCTATGGGTCTCTATGCATCTCTATGTACTTCTAAGTGTCTGTAAGGGTCTATCTCTACGGGTCTCTATGCATCTCTGTGGGTCTCTACGTATATTTATGTATCTCTATGCGTCACTATGTATAACTAAGGGTCTCTATGAGTCTCTATGTGTCTATATGTATCTATATGGATCTCTACGGGTCTCTATGGGTCTCTATGTATATCTAAGGGTCTCTATGGGTCACTGTATATCTCTAAGGATCTCTGGGTGTCTATGTATCTCTAAGGGTCTCTATGGGTCTCCATGTGTCTCTATGCAATCTGAGCGAGACGTGCCCCGTTAGTCGAGTTCGGAATCAGAATCGGAATATTTATTGATGCTGCAGGAGGAATCCGATGAGCAATGAAGCTCTTTCGTCACAGACTGGACCAGCAGGGGCACGGGACTTCAGGACGTTATGACAACAAACGCAATACAAACAGAAACACGATCGTGGTGCAAGGCGCCAACAGAGGTAAACATTCATAATTAAGGTTTTTGGGTCAGATCGTGTTATTTATAAATGTGTCGCAACCCTCCACCACCCGACACGGCCAATTTCCCGGAGATGCTGGATGTGATTATCAGCGAAACGTCGTACTCAAATTCTAAATGATTATCTTCTTGGTTCTTTCGGTAAAGTCACGTAAAAGGGAAATAATAAAATAATACAAATTGAACATAATAAAATACAATTCTCACGCGTTTCGGCCACAACGCAAGCAGCCGTCCTCAGGTGAAGAACAGGTCTGTCGGAAAGACAGCATCTGAATGGACACCACCAGGCTTGGCAGTGTATAGTTAAGCTGGGTGGTGTTCATTCAGACGCTGTCTTTCCGACAGACCTGTTCTTCACCTGAGGACGGCTGCTTGCGTTGTGGCCGAAACGTTGTGAGAATTATTTTATTATGTTTTATTTGTATTATTTTATTATTTCCCTTCTACGTGACTTTACCGAAACAACCAAGAAGATGAATCCCTGCAGTCACGAAAGCTTTAAATCGAAATCTAAATGATTCATTCTGCAAACACACCGGTGGGCTGAAGAAGTCACTAATTGGCGTTTTGTCAACGTGACACATTTTTTACTGATGTCGGGTGGTGAAGGGTTGCGACACATTTATAAATAACGCGATCTCACCCAAACACCTTTATTATGAATATAATACTGTTCGCGAAAGCCTACGTGTTAAACAGAGGTGAACAAATCGCTCAAACACACCCAACTAAAACCATCCCCACCCCAAGGCCGTCTTACCTGGTTATTCAGTAGGAAGTGCTCGGACCGCATGGCTGAGAGCACGTGCCACAGCGAAGTCACGTGCTTGAGTCGGCATGCCTCGAGCACCTGCAGTGGAATGGGGGGGGGGGTCGCACATGAAGAACAGGTCTGTCGGAAAGACAGCGTCTGACAGACCTGTTCTTCACCTGAGGACGGCTGCTTGCGTTGTGGCCGAAACGTCGTGAGAATAATTTTCTTATGTTTTATTTTTATTATTTTATTATTTCCCTTCTACGCGACTTTACGGAAAGAACCAAGAAGAAAAACTTAAAGATATATTGACATTTTACCAGACGTGAGGCCCCAGCGAGCTACGTGGCGATGGGTCGTGATCGATGATGGAGAGTTTCTACCGCGCTCCCAACCAAGTAAAAATTAACCCGTGAAAACAAAGTTTTTCACTATAAATCCTTTATATGCGTGGCATCGGTTTCATTTTATTATTCATTTCTGTTTTTCTTGAGTAAGCAAGCAAGCAAGCAGGTGAAGTTAATATAAAGGATTTAAAAATGAAAGATCACCTCTTGACATGCCCCGTATATTCCCGAGGGCACTAGCGTTGACCACTTTCAAGAACCTGGTGGCTTCAATTTAACTGCTCTATAAATAGTCTCCACTATACAGCGTGGGGACAGGGATTTCATGCCATGTGGTTAGTCAACATTTGCGTCATCATGAAACGGGCGGTTACAGTCCTCTCGTCCTCTGGCTTGAGATGGCTGCCACCTATGGGTCAGATGATTGTCTGCCACAATTAAGCAATTGGTAATTAAATATTTAATTTTTTTTCACTAAAAAGTGTAAAATTTTGGAAAAAAATTTTCATGAAAATTAATTGTCAAGCACAACGAGTCTGTGTGCAAAATGTCAGCTCGATTGGATCACGGGAAGTGGGTTAAAAAACGACAGAAAGATTTGCACGGTCCTAAGCAAGCAAGCAAGCACGCAAGCACGCAAGCAAGCAAGCAAGTGAACTTAATATAAAGGATTTAAAAAAAACAACGAATAAATCGGCAACGTTGCGGCAGAACGAACGCGTCGGTCGGGTTTGGGGGGGCGGTGGGGGGTCCACCTGCAGCACATGCGGGGAGAGCTGGTTCATGCGGATGGTGTCACACAGAAATGGGCGCAGGCCGCTCTCGCCGTCGCCGCCGCCGGACGCCAGGAAGCCGGCGACGATTTGCACCGCCGAGTGGGCCTCCGTCGTGTAGAGGAACGACCGCAGCTGGCCACGGACTCGATCCTGCAGGGCGCTGGGCAGAGCCACCTGGCGCGTGGCGGGGGGGGGAGGAAGCGGGGGGAGGGATGGGGGGGGGGAAGAGACAGGGGGGGAGGGCCAGGGGGGAAGGAGGAAACGGGGGGGGGAAGAGGAGGAAACGGGGGAGGAAATGATGGGAGAGTAGTGATGGAGGAGAGGGGTGGTGGGGGATGGGGGGGGCGGGGAGGGGTGGTGGGTGATGGGGGAGAAGGGTGGTGGGGGATTGGAGCGGTGGTGGGAGACGGGGCAGGGACGGTGGTGGGGGATGGGGGGGAGGGGTGGTGGATGATGGGGGATGGTGGTGGTGGTGGGAAAGGGGTGGTGTGGAGGGAGGGGAGGGTGGTGTGGAGGGAAGGCAGGTGGGGTACAGGGGGGACGTTACGTGGTTGGGCTGGGTGCAATTTGTTACCTGGGGCAGTTTGAGGCGCAGATCGCTGAAGAGGACCGAGAAGTCCCGGTCCTGGGGGAAGACGAGTGTTGGCAGGTCCTGAAACACAAAAAGACAGAGATCCCCCGTGTTGCCTTACAGGCTGAGTCGTCCTAGCAGAGGCGCAGAGAACAGTTCATATCGTCGTCACCGAAATTGGCCGCGAGCAAAAATCTAATTTGGGTCGTCGGGTTCCAAACACAGTGCGCCAACCACTGCACCACCGCTCCCCAAAAAATGAACAACAGCCGCCATTGGCATCACCACGATCCTTGTACCACGGGAGGTGCATTTTGAGGCCATGTGATGTGTGAGAGGCTCATTGGCAGAAGGACACGGGACAGACCCGGGTGCCATGGGTTGACTGACTGAGATAACTGTCAAATATACCACCCGAGCCCCCTACTGTGCCAACGTGCCGCGTTTTATCCGCCCGGCACTCCGCTCGTTGTCCTGAACATCGCTTCTCCACTCTCCATTGTTGTAATAGCCGGTACTAAAGATGAATTACCAAAGCTATCAATAGAAGGTGTGCACCGAATTAGTTGCTCCTGTGGCCAATGCTATGTTGGCCAAAACAGGACAAAATATTAGCATAAGACTAAAAGAACAAAGACATCTTTAATACTCACAAACCTAATTGTCGGCAGTTGCAGAACATACTTTACATCGAGGACACTCGATGAAAAAGAGAGCTGTGGATGAAGGAGGGAGCTGTGGATGAAGGAGAGAGCTGTGGATGAAGGAGAGAGCTGTGGATGAAGGAGGGAGCTGTGGGTGAAGGAGAGAGCTGTGGATGAAGGAGAGAGCGGTGGATGAAGGAGAGAGCTGTGGATGAAGGAGAGAGCTGTGGATGAATGAGGGAGCTGTCGAGGAAGCATAGAGCTGTGGATGGAGGAGGGAGCTGTGGATTAAGGAGGGAGCTGTTGATGAGGAGGGAGAGCTGTGGATGAAGGAGTGAGCGGTGGATGAAGGAAAGAGCTGTGGGTGAAGGAGAGAGCTGTGGGTGAAGGAGGGAGGTGTGGATTAAGAAGGAGAGAGCTGTGGGTGAAGGAGAGAGCTGTGGATGGAGGAGGGAGCTGTGGATTAAGGAGGGAGCTGTTGATGATGGATGGAGCTGTCGATGATGGATGGAGCTGTGGATTAAGGAGCGAGCTGTGGCGGAGAAAGTAGAATAAAAGATAACACTCACCTGTCTGTGTGTTGGTGAGAAGAGTCGGCTACACAACATTAATGGTGCTGTTGATTGCTGGCCGTGGCATGGTGACTTCTAGTCTATGGCCAGAATCCCTCTTAGGGCAAAAATATAAATAACAGATGTAATTGTGAAGTACGGTGGGAAGAAGCTATGGTTACTGTCAGCCCGAGGGGACACTATCATGCAACACCGGGGCACCGCGCTCTCACCGTCACATCGATACGCGGGCGCCCGCGGATGAAGCGGTGCACGATCTGCCGCTGCAGGCCGTGCAGGTGGAGGTTGTCGGCGGCAGCCGCCGGCTCCGTCGCCGCATAGCCCCGTGCCGACGCCAGCAGCGGCAGAAGCTCCTGGTCGGCGTCGTAGGACACGACGTACGGCTCGCACACGGCGCTCACCGGCACCGGCAGCCTGGCGCCGGGCACAGAGGACGTGACGACGACGAGACGAGGATTCAGCACCAATTGAGACGAGGCTCAAAAGACAGCCGTCTCTGGTGTTGACCAATCAGTTTCAAGGACAAAGTATATATTACACTGGTCAACAACAATTTTTTTTTTCTGGCCTGGACTTTTGCAGCTGTTGTAGACTAATTTCAGAGGGCTGATTCCAAATCTGATCTCAGATTTGCTTTATCACATCTCATTTTTATGCTATCGGCATACCCCATTTTAATTGAGTTTTACCCGAAATTAACTCTGTCACTTATGATTGCAAGTTGTTGCGAGTCAGTGACTGCTTTAGTATTAAAATTTGGTGCTGTATTTTTAGGATAGTGTGTTTATAATATCATTTTACGTAGATATCCACATTTATTTAATATTTTTCTTCTACAGTTTTTATTGAAAATGCAATATTTGATATTTCAAAAACCTGATGTGATAGACAAAAACTGATGCCAGATTTGGAATCAGCACCCCAAAATTACCTTGAAACCGTTGGAATACCTTATGCCAGAAAAAGTGAGTTGACCAGTGTTATCAGAGTGTGTTTTTTGTTTACATTTTGACCACAAGAATTGTGGTTAATGCAGACGTGATTCCTCGTAAAAAGGTTTCAGTTTTGTTGCCAGAAAAAAAGGGAGAAAACCCCTAATCTCTAATTTTGGTACTGGCAAAGGAGGTCCAATGATGAGGGTTCTTCCATTATAGCGTACGCAGGCATATGGCCAGTTGCCTCCTTGTCGATCTTCTGTTGCCACTGCCATGGTTGTGGTTCCCAGTGTTTAATTTCAGCCGAGAAGACTAATCCGGGAATTCCCTTGGCAACGGAATGTCGGGTAGAATACATGTTGTTACGGGTAGGAATACTGGGTACTCTAGTGGTAGTGCCTTATGCCGATAATCCCTACTCCAAGGCAGCCGAGCAGCAATCCATAAAAATTTCAGCTAGAAATTAAGCCCCGCGTGTTCCCATGAACTTCACTCGATGATTCCTCCACTCGTGCTGAGGCCTCTGTACCAGAACAATGACTGTTTGACGTCATCCACCACACTGTGTTCAACAACCCCCACCACCAGCAGCAGCACCACACACTGTGTTCAACCACCACCACCACCACACCGTGTTCAACCACCACCACCACCACACTGTGTTCAACCACCACCACCACCACACCGTGTTCAACCACCACCACCACACTGTGTTCAACCACCACCACCACCACACTGTGTTCAACCACCACCACCACCACACTGTGTTCAACCACCACCACCACCACACTGTGTTCAACCACCACCACCACCACACTGTGTTCAACCACCACCACCACCACACTGTGTTCAACCACCACCACCACCACACTGCGTTCAACCACCACCACCACCACACTGTGTTCAACCACCACCACCACCACACTGTGTTCAACCACCACCACCACCACCACACTGTGTTCAACCACCACCACCACCACACTGTGTTCAACCACCACCACCACCACCACAGTGTTCAACCACCACCACACTGTTCAACCACCACCACACTGTTCAACCACCACCACCACCACAATGTTCAACCACAACCACACTGTTCAACCACAACCACACTGTTCAACCACCACCACCACCACCACACTGTTCAACCACAACCACACTGTTCAACCACCATCGCTCAATTTGGATTTCTAGTTATGCCTGCTCTTTACCCATAATGCTCCAGTGCAACAGGGACCGAGCTCGAGGTGAATGTGCAAGCATGTGGGATATGTGACCACGTGCAAGAAGACAATTCTGGTTGCACGGTGCATGAAGAAACATAAAGCAGAGCTCTGTGTCTCCGCACAAAAACATCAACATGTCAATGAATCCTTTGGCCTAGCGGATTTACCAGGCCAATGTTAAACTTAACTGTATTTACCAGGTAAGGCCCCACTGAGTTCTATGGCTCTTTTCAAGAAACGACCTGGCGACCACAAACGGTAGCTCAACGACGTGGCTTATCAACATCACGTGGAAATGTAGAGCAGCCAAAGACTCTAAACGCAGGCTTCTAAATGTCGAGGCAAAAACCGGAGGACCTGCAGAGAAATCCACACGACCACGGGGAGAGAGACACGCAAACTCCAAATATACAGCAGCAGGCATCAGGGTCGGGATCGAACCCATGACCTCCTGTATACCAGGCGAGGGAGTTAACATCTAGTCACTGTGATGATGATGATTATGATGAGCGAGAGAGACACGCAAACTCCAAATATACAGCCAGGGTCGGGATAGAACCCACGACCTCTTGTATACAAGGCGAGGGAGTTAACATGTTATCGCCACCGTGATGAATATCTGCCGGCCAAGTCACCCCTTTGAAAAACAGTTTCTTAGCTTTACTCGGCACCGTGGCACCCAAAGACAAAGGTCCCCCGGGTAGCCTTCACCCGGACTCTTCGGGCAAGTGCATTTGAAACCCTATGACAACAGAAGGAGGATGAGGACAATTCTAGAATGAACAGCGACGCGGTCGCGGACCGATCACCAACCCCAGCGCCTCGATGCCCACCGATGGGGAGGAAGGGAGTTTCTCAACATCTGTGCGTGATCTGTCAACCCTCGCTGCTGCCTCCACAGCGCGGGGGTCACTACAGGCTGCCACATGCAGCGGCCAGCGTAGCCACCGCCACCACGGAAGCAAACGAAACGGGCTACTGGCCAAATAGGGGCAGAGGCGACGGTGCACTGGGCACAGCAAGCGGAGAGGAACGCACGGGACGTCGTGAGCGTCGGCGGTCTCGCTGGCCGCCACCACGCGGTTGTGCAGGGCGACGAGGCGCGACAGGAGGGCGGAGGCGACGAGGCCGGGCCCCGTGCGACGAGGCAGCAGCACGAGCGCGTCGCTCTCCACGCTCAGGTCCTCCTCCAGCAGCGACGCGGGGACGCCCAGCTCGTCTGGAAGGCACGTGGGGCACGGGGAGATTACGCGTGCGGCGAGGGGGGGGGCAGACTCCTGCTGAGACACTGTGACAACTTGCTGCGATTTAGCCGCTCCGCTCGTTGTCGTGAGCGTCGCTCCTCTGCCGTCGCTGGAGGGCGACTGCCTCCCAACTACCCAGTAGCGTCCTTCACGGGCCTCCTTCATAGCGGCCGATCTCGACGCCGCTGGTATCAGTCCACTCAGCTCTACATAAGTCCATCTCCTCTCCAGCCCCCTCTATCCGGCCCAACAGAAGCTGCTTGGGCAGCATGCCGTGGCTGGGCATTCGGGCTGCGTGACCCGGCCGACACAGCCTCGCCTGCCGAAGGAGCTCAACGATAATTAATGGGGACCGTGTACAGATCTTTCAAGGATTTGTGAGCTCCTCACACTCGAATCCAGCCTGGTTAAACCCGGGATGGATAGTCGGCAAGGTAAGCCTGAATGTTTCAAACCGGCGCTGGGTGTTCTGGTGAGTGAGCGAGCGCGCTGCTCTTACTCTCATCCCTGATGGCCGTCCTCAGCTGGTTCCACACGCTCACGAACAGCTCCGCCTTGGCATAGAGATCATGCTGCACGGCGCCTACAATGGGGGGACCACACGGGGACACATGGAGACACAGAGACACAGAGGTGCAGAGAGACACGGGGAGACACACGGGAGACAGAGACGAACACTGTCACTTATCCCAATTATACCCTTGACTGCTATCGGTGTCACGTGACCAGACAAAGAAGCCATTTGGAAATCTCGCAGGGCAGGGCAGGGCACCCCTTCACGCTTGGAGTACGGCTCGTGGAAGCGGATATCACAGAGCTACCGCCTCTTCCTCCTCCTCCTCCCTCTTCTTCTTCACACACAGCAGTGGGCAGCAGTCTCCCCACCCACCCCGCCACATGAGAGTAGTGTTCGCGGTCGGCGTGACGGCTGAACTGATGCTTTTAAAAGTCATCGAGCCGGAGCATAGCCACGGCGAGCGAGTTGTTTCGTGTAACTGGACGTCTGTGAAATGGCGTTTCAATGGCTCCCTCATTGCATTCCTCCTCCAGGATGAATACAGATTCAGATCCTGAGAGCTCGAGATGCCGGGTGAGGTCCCACCCCCCGCCCCATGTTGAGGTGGTTCGGGCACCTGCTAAGGATGCCCCCCCCCCCCCCCCCCAGTAGACTCCCCCTGGAAGTCTACCCGGCAGCACGGCCCCACTGGGCGAAGACCCCGGGGTCGGGCCAGGACACGCTGCTGGCAGGACGATGTCGCTCGGCTGGCCTGGGAACGCCTAGGAATTCCCCAGGAAGAGCTAGAGTCTGTGTATCGTAGTGTATCATAGTGTCGTGTATAGTAGTGTAGTGTATAGTAGTGTCGTGTATAGTAGTGTAGTGTATAGTAGTGTAGTGTATAGTAGTGTAGTGTATAGTAGTGTAGTGTATAGTAATGTCGTGTAGAGTGTCGTATAAAGTAGTGTCGTGTATAGTGTAGTGTAAAGTAGTGTAGTGTATAGTAGTGTAGTGTATAGTAGTGTAGTGTAAAGTAGTGTAATGTATAGTATTGTCGTGTATAGTAGTGTCGTGTGTATCGTAGTGTATAGTGTATCATAGTGTAGTGTATAGTAGTGTATAGCGTATCATAGTGTATAGTGTATCGTAATGTATAGTGTATAGTAGTGTAGTGTATAGTAGTCTATAGTGTAGTAGAGTATTGTGTAGTGTATAATAATGTAGAGCTAGAGTCTGTCGCCAAGGAATGGGAGGTCTGGACCGCCACTACTCAACATACTGCTGCTGCGAACCTCACCAGGACAAACGGACTGATAAGCGAACGAACGAACTTACTTTAACACGTAGGCTTTCGCGACCAATGTTATTCATAATCAACGTTTTTGGGTTTAGATCGCGTTATTTATAAATGTGTCGTAACCCTCCACCACCCGACACGGCCAATCAGTAAAAAAGTGTCACGTTGACAAAAGACAAATAGTTCACTGCTTTAGCCGACCGGTGTGTTGAAGCCACAACATTTACAATTTGAGTACGACGTTTCGCTGGTAATTGCATCCAGCATCATCGGGCAATTCGCCAGAATAGTGAGGCTCTGCTGTGTCTCCCGTTAATGAGTTAATGATGACGTCACCCTGCTGCTGCTCTATATAAGAACGGGAGACACAGCAGAGCCTCACAATTCTGGCGAATTGTCCGATGATGCTGGATGCAATTACCAGCGAAACGTCGTACTCAAATTGTAAATGTTGTGGCTTCAACACACCGGTGGGCTAAAGCAGTGAACTATTTGTCTTTTGTCAACGTGACACTTTTTTACTGATTGGCCGTATATAGAAGGGAAGTAATAAAATAATTCTCACGACGTTTCGGCCACAACGCAAGCAGCCGTCCTCAGGTGAAAACCAGGTCTGTTGGGGAGACAGCGTCTGAATGAAACAGCACACGAGCTTGGAGCATATATAAGCTGGGTTGGAAGCGGGGGAAAGAGCGCCTTGACAAAATAATTTCAATATCAAGAGGAATTTAGCATATTTATGGGAAATGCAGGAATGTGATTAGTACTACATATGCCCGTGCTGCATATGTAGTACTAATAACATTCCTGCATGTCCCATAAATATGCTAAATTCCTCTTGATATGCAAAGTATTTGTCAAGGCGCTCTTTCCTCCATTTCCAACCCAGCTTATATATGCTCCAAGCTCGTGTGCTGTTTCATTCAGACGCTGTCTCCCCGACAGACCTGGCTTTCACCTGAGGACGGCTGCTTGCGTTGTGGCCGAAACGTCGTGAGAATTATTTTATTATGTTTTATTTTTATTATTTTATTACTTCCCTTCTACGTGACTTTACCGAAAGAACCAAGAAGAGAGGATATCTATGAAAAGGTTTGCCAAACTGTGAATGGTTTGGAGCTGAACTGGGCTAAACTAGCCAGTGTGACAACTGATGGTGCTCCTAGCATGGTGGGGTCTAAGAAAGGAGTAATTGCTCGCATTAACCAAGAGATGGACAAACATAACCATTCTCATCCAATAGCCATACACTGCCTCATCCACCAACAAGCGCTGTGTAGTAAATCACTGAAGTGGGACTCGGTTATGAAATTTGTGGTATCTTGTGTTAACTTCATTAGAGCTCATGCACTAAACCACAGACAATTTCAGGCATTTCTGTCTGAGCTAAATGTTGACTATGAAGATGTTCTGTATCACACAGAAGTCCGTTGGCTGAGTCGAGGGAGAGTTTTGAAACGTTTCTATGACTTACTTCCACAGATTACAGCTTTTCTGCTTTAAAAAAACAAAGAAGTACCAGAGCTCAATGATGCAGAATGGAAATGGCACCTTGCCTTTCTGACAGATGTAACAGAGCTACTCAACAGTTTCAATGTGCAACTTCAAGGACAGGGGAAGCTCATCTGTGATATGCAATCACATGTCAAAGCATTTGAAGTAATATTAGGCCTCCTCATCAAACAAGTGAAGGAGGAAAACTTCTGCCATCTCCCCACAACTCAAAATCTGTTAGCGGAAAAACCATTGGTTGCATTCCCAAACAAAACGTGTGGATTCACTGGAAAAATTGCAAAAGGAGTTCCAATTTGGATTTAAAGAGCTTCATCTCCATGAACAGGACATACAGCTTTTCCGTAACCCATTTTCTATTGACATTTGAAAATGTGGATACAATTTACCAAATAGAACTGGCTGAACTGCAGAATTGTGACTCTGAAAGACGCATTCAAGTCAAGCAGCCTTCATAATTTCTATGCATCTCTCCCCTCTGAGACATATCCTCATCTCAGGAACCATGCACTCAAAATGGCAACCATCTTTGGCAGCACTTATGTCTGTGAACAGACTTTTTCCAGTATGAAACATTTGAAATCTCCAACCAGATCTAGACTAATGGATGCACACTTGCTTCACTTGTTACGACTAGCAGTGACAAATATGGAACCGGACATTGACCATCTCATTAGCCAAAAGCAGGCCCATAGTTCCCATTGAAATACTGGCAAGTTTGTTGATTTAACTTTACTTGTTCTTCATTTTAAATATTGTATTTATTCCCGTTTTGTTTCTTCACTTCAAAATAAGATATATGCAGTGTGCATAGGAATTTGTTCATAGTTTTTTTTTAACTATAGTCCGGCCCTCCAACGGTCTGAAGGACAGTGAACTGGCCCCCTGTTTAAAAAGTTTGAGGACCCCTGCTCTATGGTCTTGTCTCTGCACCGGTGTTAGACCGGAGGACAACTGCCAAAAGGCGAGCAGTACACGGGCAAATGCAAATATCAAAGCGTGATTAGTTCGGCGAGGAAGCCACTGTTATAAAAACACGTGTTTCCGGCGCAAGCGAATGAGGGTCAAGGACGATGCATCGACAATGTGAGAGCATAGGTTTGCATGTTTTACCGAGACCATGGCTACTGCAGACTCGATGCCTTGTTCTAACGGGTGTCCACTTGTTGTTTTAATATCTTAACACCCCTCCTGTGGATCTAGCCAGAAAAGGGCAAACGCCTGTTATTAGTTTTTTTTTACATCGCCTTGATACTGGCAAAAAGGGGTCCTCATAGATATATATATATATATATATTTTTTAAGTAAAGCAAACAAAAAAAGAAATAGACAAGAAAAAAGTAAAGCCATCGTCGTTACGGCCCGTGTCGATCCACTGCTGGATGAGGCCTCGTCACGCTTCGCCTGTCATGGAAGGGCGGTGACGGGCGGCCGGAGGGGACGAGGGGACAGTGGGGGGGGGGGGGGAGGTGCGTTTGACCATCCAGGAAGGTCTCGGGGGTGGGGGGGGGGGGGGTCGAAGGTCGCCAAAGGTGGCACCGAAAGCGGAGCGAGCGTCACGATGGGGGCCACGTTACCTGGGCGCACGGCGGAGAGGTAGCGGCGGATGGACCCGAGGTTGCTCTCGCGATCCGCGAAGCAGAAGCGGCTCACGAGCTCGCGAGCCAGAGACACCAGCGCCGGCAGGTGACGGACCAGACGCAGCTGGCGCTCCTGGGGCGGCGGCGGGGGGCGGGAGGCGTGAGCAGGGGGGGGGGGGGCAGGCGCGTCGTAGGGCACCTCTTTGGTTCCTTTCTGATGTTACGAAGGCACTGGGAAGCTGTGCTGTGCACTTTTAAATTGTCTACATTTGGAAAAGTCATCATCTTTAGAGATTGCTTTTTTGGTGTTTAGTTGGTCGTCCTTCCCTGCACCTCCGGTTGGCTACGAACGGTGCGCGAAAGAAGTTCAACAAACATACATACAGAGTGTGGATTAATCTCCACCACGGAGAGGGACCCGTAACCTCCCATAGGGATCCCCTGTATTCGCAGAGACTCACAGACTAGCCGAAAGACCCATCGACTCCCAAAGGGAGCCCTGTACCCACAAAGACTCACGGAGAGACCGACGAACTCGCACTCGGAGCCTCGTCGCCTCTACATAACGACCCGCAGGCTCGTGGCTCTGCGTCCGTGGTGGAAAACGAAGGCGGAAACGGCGCCCGGCCCCGCAGAGCCGTGCGCGTCCTGCTCGGCTTGCGCCCGGCGGAAATGCCGAGCGACGGGCGGGAACGGTCACATACCTGGGCGAGGAAGAGGGTGAGCACCGGCAGCTCCTGCTGCAGCTCCTGCTGCTCCAGCAGCGAGGAGAGATGCTGAGCGGAGACACGGGGATGGTAGCGCCACAGCTCATCCTGCTGCTGCTGCTGCTGCGTGGGGTCGCCGTACAGCATCCGCATGAGCGGACCGCGCCGGTCATCGCTGACACGCCGACGCAGTTCCTCGAGGTTCTGCTCCAGGTCCTGGTGGATGGAGAGGGGGGTGGGGACGGGGGGGGGAGACGGGCAAAGAAGACCACGAGGTCACAGGAAGTGATGTCTATTGCTCGCTATTAACGAACTAATTTTTATTTTTGCCAGGTGAGGCCCACTCACGGAGGGAGACCTGGGCCACAAATGACAGTTCAGCCAGGTGGAGCAGCGGCCAAAGTAGTTCACATCTCCTAGCCACCGTGATGATGATGAAAGAGAGGGAGAGACACAAACTCCAAATATACAGCAGCAAGCATCAGGGTCAGGATTGAACCCACGACCTCCTGCACACCAGGCTAGGTAGTTAACATCTCAACCCCCGCTGCGCCGATATCCAGAAGCCACTGCCTTCAAGAAGATGATTATGAGTGCGCTTCTTTGGAATGGAGGAGAGATGTCATAAAAAAGATGAATTAGAACATTCAAATGATTTTGAATTTTCCCGGAAGATTACTCCGAAACATTTGGTGGCGCTTCGGAGACAGATTTGGCCAAATCATTACGTACGTATGTCTGTATGTATGTTGAACTTCTATCGCACCGTACATAGCCAACCGTGCTAATCGGAGGCACGGGGGAAGGACAACGAACTAAACACGACAACAAGCAGTTGTAAAGAAATTAGTTCTGTCAATCTAGATGTTGATTTAAAAGCACGAGGCTCCAGGTGGCTTCATGATATCGGAACAGAAGAGCGTTCCAGATGGCCGCGGAAGCGCATCCAAAAGCGCCGAGCCAGAAGCCGCTGCTACTATGGAAGTGGCCGAACGCCCTGGGCGCAGGCCCGGCTCGATTGTGGGGGGGGGGGGGGGTGTGGATGGGGGGAACTCGCCTTGAGCAGCGGACTCAGAGCCTGGCGCGTGAAATCGCTCTCCCAGTCCGCCCGCTGCTGGCGGCTCGTCAGCTTCCCGTCGTTTGCGTCTGAGAAGTAGGAATGGGGGGGGGGGGGGGGGAGCAAGGGGTGGGAGTGGACAGGGGGAATGGGGTGCACGTGGCTACGATAGCTGTTACCTAGCCCAGTACTATGAAAGACACTGCAAAGCTGAGTAAGACTATTGACTAGCCCACGGTGCACCCAGCCCATCCACTCACCCCACAGAACACCCAGCCCATCCACTATCCCTACAGAACACCCAGCCCATCCACTATCCCTACACAACACCCAGCCCATCCACTAATCCTACAGAACACCCAGCCCATCCACTATCCCTACACAACACCCAGCCCATCCACTATCCCTACACAACACCCAGCCAATCCACTATCCCCACAGAACACCCAGCCCATCTACTATCCCAACACAACACCCAGCCCATCCACTATCTCCACAGAACACCCAGCCCATCCACTATCCCTACAGAACACCCAGCCCATCCACTATCCCTACAGAACACCCAGCCCATCCACTAATCCTACAGAACACCCAGCCCATCCACTATCCCTACACAACACCCAGCCCATCCACTAATCCTACAGAACACCCAGCCCATCCACTAATCCTACAGAACACCCAGCCCATCCACTATCCCTACACAACACCCAGCCCATCCACTATCCCTACAGAACACCCAGCCCACCGCTGTCGCCGGGCTCCAGGTGCAGTAGGCGAGCCGTCGCCAGGTGAACGAGGAGCAGGGCGTCGTCGGTGCTGCGGCCCAGCGCCGACGACAGCTGCTGCAGGTCCTGCTCCAGGTGGCGCAGCAGGAAGGCCGCCGCGTCGCCCACGCGGGGATCGATGAGGCCGGCGGTGCCCTGCGCAGAGACAAAGACAAAGTTACCCGATCCCACCGCGTGGCCTTAACAGGCCAGAGGGGCCAAGTGCTGTTGGTAGTGAGCGGCGGCAGCGGCTATGAAGACACAGCGCAGTGGAACACACGATGAGGTGGGTGGGGTGGCCAGCAGCATGCCCACGACCGCCTTTGTCTCCCCAGTGGCGATGTTTGCTACACACAGTACCGGGTACTCATTTGAGGCTGAGTTGACGTAGACGAGGCCAAGGACCGGTTCAGATAATAGTCATTTGGTGATGGTGGTGGCCGTGAGCGGGAATCGAACGTGGGTGCCCGGGGTTCATAGTGCAGCGCAGGGTGCTAACTGACGCGCCACCGCTCCCCCAAAGACAATACAAACATTCCCCGGATAGCCTTAATAGACCATTGAGGCAAGTGCTGCTAGCGAGCAGCACCTATAAAGACCGGCAACGGCACACGTAGGGGTGGGTCGCAAGCACCACGCCCGGCCGCCTTTGTCTTCCCGGTGCTGACGTTCATTCCCCGCTCCAGGTGTACTCATTTGAGGCTGAGTCGGTCCGGACAATCGCCACCGGCGTTGCTGGCGGCCGTGAGCGGGAGTCGAACCCGGGTCACCTTGGGGTCGGAGATGTAGCCGAGCAGCATGGCGGCGTGGGTGAGCGCTCGCAGAACCCCAAACGCGAGCGCGGGGACACCTCGGTCGGATGAGAGGCCCGAGTCCCGGCGCGACGGATCTCCTAGCACGTGACCCCTCCTGGTGTGCTCCTTACTACATCAACAACAACATCACCATCATCATTAATCATCGATATCATCAACATTAATGTGACTATCAACATCATTATTAACATCGTCATCAAACACAATCAACATCATCATCAACACCATCAACATTAACACCATCAACATCACTATCACCACCATTAACATCAACAACAACATCATCATTAATATCAATATCATCAATATCACTATCAATTTCACAATCAATATCGTCATCAACACCATCAACACAATCACTATCATCAAAATCATCACCAGTAACATCATAAACATCATCACCAGCAACATCACCACCACCATTAACATCAGCTACACCATCATAAATATCACTTTCAACATCATCAAAACCATCAACATCGCCATCAACAAAATCACCATCCCCATCCCTATCAACATCACCATCAACAACATAAAAATCCACATCATCAGCATGTTTGAAGGCACACAATATCCAGGTAGGTGCTTAGTTTTGGTGGGGCTGATGATAAGACCCCACCTCTAAGTGGCACGCTCCAGGTTCAGCAGCAGCGCCTCCAACTCCTCCTCTGAGTTAGCAATTACCAGATCATCGGCATACATAACGTGGTTGAGCAATAGGGAGCCATCCCTCGACCACACGCGGGCATCGATCAGCCTCCCATTGTATCTGTACCAGATGGAGATTCCTCCAGTACGGCCATGGAAGGCTTCACGAACTACGTAGTGGAAATAGACGTAAAATAATGTGGGAGACAGAGGGCATCCCTGTCGCACTCCAAGATGAACAGGGAATGGCTCCGACTCGCATATTTACCTGGGCCTGCTCACCATCATCATTGTGAGCAGAGAGTCAGGGACTCCGAAAGAACAAAGAACAACTCAGAGCCCAGGCCTATTACTGGTATCATAGGCCTTGACCACATCAATAAGGCAGAGATGCAGGTCTTGTCGGAATTCCCTACACCTCTGCTGTAGCAGATGGACAAAATATATGGCATCTGCACAGAACCACCCTGGCCTGAAACCGCATTGGGGCTCTGCAAGCCTCTCCTCAGCGTGCCTGGCAAGGCGATGTTGAATAATCATTGCCAGGACCTTGCCCGGCACACTGAGGAGTGAGATGCCCCTGTAGTTGTTACAGACTGTGCGGTCCCCCTTCTTAATGAGGGGGACCACAAGGGCATCCTTCCAATCTTGCGGAATCCGTCCAGTGGTCCAGACTATTGCTACGATGTCATGTAGGGCAGTCTGTGCACAAACGCACCCTCCCTCAGCATTTCGCTTGGGAGATCATCTCTGCCCAGTTCGGTCGTGGTGCTGCCGTGGGTTGGGTGTGTGTGTGTGGGTGGGTGTGTGTGTGTGGGTGGGTGTGTGTGGGTGGGTGTGGGAGTGGGTGGGAGAGGGTCGTCGTGGGTGGCTGTGGATCTCACCCGGGCGGGATGGCGGTGAATCCGGCGACGGGCCTGTGGCCCAGTCCGCCGACCGCGACGCCGCACTCGATGCACCGCGCCGTCTGCATGGGCGCCCCGCACTGATTGGGGTCCGGGCGCCCGGCACGGTGGGGACAGAGGCGGCGAGGTCAGCTAAAGCGGGTCACAACGAGCGGCCGTCCTACGGCAGAGGCTGCTACGGCGTCGACAGTGCCGACGAGACGCTGGACGTCGAGAACCGGCCTTTGCCGGCATTGGTTAAGCAATGCCTGACACTGCTGATGAGACCCTGAACGGTGAAAACCGACGCTTGCCTAGAAAACATCTGGCAGCTGCACAAGAATTGTGGTTTCAAGCAACGCCTGACACTGCTCATGATGAGACACTGAATGTCAAAACCGGTTCCTGCCCACACACATCTGGCAGTTCACTTGCAACAAATATGTAAACACAATATATGCATGGTATATATATATATACAATGTAAATATGTAAAAATACATTGTATATACATTGTGTATATGTGTACATTTTGTATACATTATATGTATAAAGTATAAATACGCAATATACACATTATATATAATTTGTATATACATAATGTATGTGTATATACATATTGCGTATACATGTATTGTGTATACAACATATGTATTTACAATATATATGTAGTGGGCTCCACTGAGACTGGAGACATTGTCTTTAGAGGCAACACGGTTTATTGTAAACTTTAACAAGACTCCCCTTAACTCCCACTATCTAGGGAGGTACAGCCTCCAAGCTAGCGTGCCCTCACACCGTGTTAACCCTGGCTCTCAGCCCTCCGGCTAACTGTACCCTAGGGGAGGCTCAACTGACCCGACCCAGCCAAGGTGCGGGTCCTGACCACTGGTCCACGCTCGGCCTCGTCTCTTACAAGGATGTCGGGTCCCAGGGTCCTAGCCTAGCTGTACTTCGGTTCTTCGTCTTCAGAGCACAGCCCCGAGCTGTCCCTGGGGTGCCCCTTTGATACCCACCTCTCGGGGTCTCTCCGCCCCCGGTACCGCCCCCTTTCTGGAACCTTCCAGGGGGCTCTGCAAGAACCCCCGAACCCCTCACCTGAGGTCGGGGGGGGGGGGGAGAACCCAGCCCCTCAATGGTCCGGCTCCCTCTGTCTTTCCACAGCTCAGGGTGGCACCCCCTATGGGCCTGTGCCCGCAACTACAGGTAAGTATACACCGGCCGGTATGTGTTATGTATTTCCGACGCTACATATATATACATACCCATATGCACATATATGTACATATACAATATATATAATGAAGATACTATATACACAATGTGAATATATATAGATTTGTACAATGTATTTGTTTATACATTTGTAGAGAAGTTACCGACGGACGTACTCGGAGACGGAGGTAAGTTAGGGGCTTCCGCCAGGGTTTATTACTCTTGGTCAAAACTACACAGGGTACACAACTCCCAGGGGCTAGGGGTCCTACTCTGAGTCTGGGTCCCTGCCGGCTAGCTCCGGTCTCTCTCTCGTGTCGGATCGTGGAGTCTGCCGACTCCACCGACCGGAGAGAGAAGCACCTCTTCGGCTACCACCGGCTTCTCCCCAGACTCCCTATTTGATCCCTCTCACTATCCCTGGTTCCCTCTTCACCCTGTTTACTATCCCCGTTCCTATAGTGACCCCGCTTACGTTACGGGGTCTCCCTTATATACCCTCGGAGGGGTGATGTCGCGTGCACTGCCCAGCGCGTGCGACCCCACGTCCCGTGAGGTCACCGCACCTGACAGCGCACACGACGCCACCACTCTCCACTACTCCTCTACATCACCCCCCCCTGTGAAAAAAATTCAGCCGACTCGGCTGTAAACAATATAAAAGTAGAGGAGTCCCAGAACCACAAACCAACATATTCACAACCAACCGACAACATCCAGGCAGCATGACAACAATCAATCAAATTTCAAAACTTTGAAACTCTCATCACGCGCTGCCATCAATACAAAGGCGGAATCCCGATGGCCCAGACAACACACACCAACAAACAACAATTGAACAATTGAGCAGCCCAGACAAAACACACCAAAACGGACAATTGGGCAGTCTTAGACAAAACACGCCAACATAACACAATTGAGCGATGAGGGCTGGAGGCCGACGGCAGCGTTTCCACAGGCCATCAACAGAGCGCACGCCTCCCCATGTGGCACGAATCGCCAGGGCAGGCACCGTGCCAGCTAGTGACAGGCCCCGGGAGAGCCGCAGCAGCCCAGCAGCCCAACGCAGCTCCTGCCAGGCGCGCGCCGGCCCGAGCGGCGGCTCCTGCTGCCCATGCCGCGGCAAGATGCAGAGCCGCGGCGTCGGCATGGCAACGCCCAGGCACCGCGAGGTGCGGGGCCGCGTCGTCGCCGGCGGCCCCCACCGCGATCGCTGCAGGTAAAATAGCAGCCTGGTGCGGCGTCGCCGGCGGCAAACCCCGCATGCACAGCGAGGTGCGGTGCCCCGGCGTGACCCTCGGCCCACCCCGCGGCCGCGGCAACTATAGCAGCCGCGGTGGCGGGCGCGCCAAACCCCGCAGGCACGGCGATGCTCGGAACCGCGGCAACTTCCGCGGCGCGGCATCGTGAGGAGCCGCGGCAGCGATGCACGGGGCCACGGCGACACCCGCAGCGTACCCCGCCAGCGCGGCGATGGCCGGAACCACGGCGGCACCCTCGGCAACTCCCGTGGTGCGGCGAGGTGTGGAGCCCCGGACGTACCTGGGGCTCCCCCGGCGGGCGCAGCATGGTGCGGAGCTGTGGCATCGCCGCTGGCAGACCCCGCGCGCGCGGTGTGGCGCGAAGTCGCGGCGGCACCCACGGTGGACAACGGCGTCGCAGTTGCCATGGCAGCCATGGCGCCGACGTGCGGCGTCGCATGAACAATGGCCGCCACCTGCAGCGTCGCAGTTAAAATGGCGGCCGCCTGAGGCGCCCCAACCAACATGGCCGCCGCTGGCGACGTCGCAGGCAAAATAGCCAGCTGGGGCGTCGCGGCGAAGATGGCGGCCGCCTCTCGCGGCGTCCCGGCAGTTGACAGTTGCTCCCATCCCGAGTGCGGACCGGGAGGACCCAACTTCGCCTCCGCGATGTCGAGACGGGCGCAGAGCTGCGCGATCGCCTGCAGGAGCTGCCTCAGCAGGTCTGCAGGGGTGCTCCCTGTCTCCAGCGGTGGTGGCGGCGAGCTGGCACCCCCGCCCGTCGTCTTCTCGGGGCCTGTCACCGGAGCCCCGGACTCCGGGGTCACTGCCGAAGCCTCCTCCCCGCCGTCTTCATCCTCCGATCGTCCCGTCGCTGGGTTCTTGCGCTCCGCTCCCGATGTAAACATTGTAGCAGCAGTGCAGACACTCTGACACCAGTTGTAGAGAAGTTACCGACGGACGTACTCGGAGACGGAGGTAAGTTAGGGGCTTCCGCCAGGGTTTATTACTCTTGGTCAAAACTACACAGGGTACACAACTCCCAGGGGCTAGGGGTCCTACTCTGAGTCTGGGTCCCTGCCGGCTAGCTCCGGTCTCTCTCTCGTGTCGGATCGTGGAGTCTGCCGACTCCACCGACCGGAGAGAGAAGCACCTCTTCGGCTACCACCGGCTTCTCCCCAGACTCCCTATTTGATCCCTCTCACTATCCCTGGTTCCCTCTTCACCCTGTTTACTATCCCCGTTCCTATAGTGACCCCGCTTACGTTACGGGGTCTCCCTTATATACCCTCGGAGGGGTGATGTCGCGTGCACTGCCCAGCGCGTGCGACCCCACGTCCCGTGAGGTCACCGCACCTGACAGCGCACACGACGCCACCACTCTCCACTACTCCTCTACACATTGTACAAATCATTGTATTCGACAAAATGTATAGACATATTTATCGTGTAATGTTATTGCACCGATAAAACTCACCTCTCCCACCACGCACGGGTGCCCGTTCTTACATTCTGCGAAACAAAACAAAAAAACGTTCGAGAAATCAATCACGGATCGTCGTCAATTCCATCGGGTCCAGTTGGTGCTGGCGTTGTGCGTCGTTTCGAACGTCGCACGGGAGGACGACGCCGCTGTTTCACGCGGGACGCACGCAGGAAGGGGTGGCGATGTTGCTGCTGCTGCTGTGGTCTAGCCTAGGGGGGCACCCCCAGCGGCAGCTGTCCCCGTGCGGCACAAGGCGATCGTCACGCTGGTAGTAGGCACCGCTGCTGCTGGGTCACAGACGCAGCCCGTGGCGGTTTCACAGTAGGGGGCCGATGTCGCTGCTGCTGTGTGGTCTAGCCGAGGGCGGCACCCCCAGCGGCAGCTGTAATTGTGTGGCACAAGGCGATCATCACGCAGTATGGCGCCACTGTTAAACCCAACTAATGATCCATGCTGGGTTTAACCAGACTGTATTGTGTGAGGAGCTCACAGAACCTTGAAAGATCTGGACACACTCCAATAAGTGAGCTCCTCTGGCAGGCGAGGCTGCGTTCGCTGGGTCGCATAGCCCAAATGCCCGGCCAACACTTGCCCAAGCAGATTCTGTTTGGCCGGATAGAGCGGGCTAAACGGGCACGACACAGGCCAGAGAACAGATTGAGTGATGTGGTACAGGAGGATGTGTTGCCGAGTGGACCTGCCGATGATTGGTACTAACGGTGTCAAGATCGGCATCTGTGAAGGACGCTACCGGGCAGTTGGAGGCAGTCGCCCTCCAACAAAAGCAGAGGGCAAGAGAAACGATGCTCGCCACAACGAGCGGAGTGCCAGGGGGCTAAAATGCAACGAGTTGGCACAGCAGGTAGCACAGGTGGTGCATCTGCCAGTCATCTCAGTCGGTCAACCCATGGCACCACCTGGGTCTGTTCCCTGATCTCCTGCCAGGAGCGAGCCTTCAACATTTCACGTGACCTCAAGGTGCACCTGGTCTGGCACAAGCGCCGTTGTGATGTCACCGCCACTTGTTGTGGGTTCGCGTGACCAGGTTTGTGACATCCATAAATGGTGTTTTTTGGGGATAGATGGCGTAAATATAAACGCGTCATTAAACCCGCCACCACCCGACACAGCCAATTAGTAAGGGTTGTCAGGTAAACAAAACGTGACAATTCGTTACTAGTACAGCACTAGTGTATAGTGTAGTGTATAGTGTATTGTGTAGTGTAGTGTATAGTGTAGTGTACTAGTACAGCGCACCAGTGTGTTGGGAGAGTAAACCCGCAGTGACATTTATAATTAGAGTATGACGTTTTCTGCGGTAATTACAACCATCATCATCAGGCGACAGCCATCTAACCCAAAAAACAACAACCCTATTATGGTTTAACATTGGTCGCAAAAGCCTATGTTTGTGTAATGTTACTGAGACCGGATGCAGGCTTGGGGTTTGTCTTACTTTCCGCGGCGCCGAGCCACCCCGAGAGCACACGGTGACTCACAGTGGATGCACACCGTTTGACGCGCGAGTCCTCAAATGGTGCGTTATAACGGAACGCGTTTTATTGTCAGAAAGGTAAAAGAAATTCTTAAAATGTATTTTTCCAGTATTCATATCTCTTTCCCTGTGTTTATTAACAATTAATATATTGCTGTATTTCAAATTATAGCTGTGTTTTTGGCAGAGGTGTGGACTCGAGTCATGTGACTTGGACTCGAGTCAGACTCGAGTCATGAATTTGATGACTTCAGACTCGACTTGGACTTGCATAACAATGACTTTGTCCCACCTCTGAGGTGTGGACTCGAGTCATGTGACTTGGACTCGAGTCAGACTCGAGTCATGAATTTGATGACTTCAGACTCGACTTGGACTTGCATAACAATGACTTTGTCCCACCTCTGGTTTTTGGTCTGGCCAAAAGTCAAACAAAGTGATAAATAAACATGGTATGCCGGCTGCGCCATGTGTTAACAACTACGAGCGATGGACACCAGCAGCGGGAGTGATGCAGTGACAGACAAACTATGAATCTTGATTTGAAGTTTTCGTAACTGCAAGAATCCATACTCTCTGGTTCTTTCGGTAAAGTCACGTAGGTAGAAAAAAATAACAGATCACGACGTTTCGATCGCCACGCAAGCAACCGTCTTCAGGCAGAAAAAAAGAGGAACAGAGATACTACATCTCTTCCTCTTTTTCTGCCTGAAGACGATTGTTTGCATTGCGGTCGAAACGTCGTGATCTATAATTTTTTCTACCTACATGACTTTACCGAAAGAACGAAAGAGTATAGACAAACTATGCTTTCGCCCTTATAGGGACCCATCAGCAGCATGTAGCCAGCAATTGATCGGCGGTTGATCGGCAGTTGATCGGCGGCGACGGCGAGGCTGGCGCGCGATTCACTCACCGTACCACCGCGTGAACTCGAAGTTCCCGCTGCCGAGCTCCATGGTGCGGGCCTGGTCCCGAATGTCGTCGGGCATCGTGGCCAGAAGCGAGTCCTGTGGAGCGGGGCCCAATGGTCGTGACCTTCCCTCAGGGGGGGGTTTAAGATCGGAGGCACGGGCAGCGCCAACACGCGACGCGACGAGGGCTGGCTCGGGTGTCGCTGCGCTAACGGTTGTGAGCCATGGGGGGTGGGGGGGGTCTCTGAGCCCCTATGTATCTCTATGGGTCTATGTATCTCTATGCGGGTTCCCTATGTATCTCTATGGGGGAGCCTCTATGTATCTCGATGGGTCCCTATCAATCTCAATGGGTCTAAATGTATCTCTATGAGTTTCTATGGGTTTACTGTGCGCTCCACTCTGTGTAGGGTGCCTTTAATATGCCTCTGTGAGTCTCTGTGGGTCTCTATGGATCTCAATGGGTCTCTACGTATCTCGATGGGTCTCTATGTATCTATTTGGGTCTCTATGTATCTCTGTGAGTCTCTAAATATCTCTGTAGGTGTCTGTGGGTCTCTATACATTTCTATGAGTCTCTGTATATATGTGGGTCTCTATGGGTTTACTGTGATGTCCTCAGTGTGAGTTGCATGTCCACAGTCGCACTGCCGTGGCTTGTCTATTATGGGTCTCTATGTATCTCGATGGGTCTCTATGCGTTTATACGTGTCTCTGTGTATGGCTACAGTCACACGACTGCCGCTTGTCTTTAATGTGTCTCTGTGAGTCTCTGTGTATCTCTATGGGTCTTCTATGAGTCGTTGCATCTCGATGGGTCTTCTATGAGTCTCTGCGAGTCTTTGTGGGTTCACTAAACGGTCCATAGTTCGGGTTGTATGGCCACAGTGGAACCACTGTGGCTGTGTTTTAAATGTCCCATTCATGAAGGAGATGTGGGTGCAGCATCGGTCTGGTGATGATGGTGTTCTGGTTGTGAGCGAGTGGGTGCCTGGGTGAGTGAGTGAGTTAATGGTTACACCAGTGTCTTGGAGGAGGGAGGGAGGAGGGACAAGGAGGGAGGAGGAGGGAGGAAGGGGAGGAGGGAGGAGGAGGAGGAGTGAGGAGGGAGGAGGAGGGGAGGAGGGGGCAGGAGAAGGGGAGCAGGCAGGAGGATGGGAGGAGCAGGAGAAGGAGGAGGGAGGAGGAGGCAGTAGGGGGAGCCAGAGGAAGGAGGAGGGATAGGAGGGGAAGGAGGACCAATAACCACTCGACTCAGCTCGTCCAATTCTGGGCCACCTGCAAGGCGCGGGGGTCTCTGGCGAGGCGGCGCAGCGGAGCCAGCAGGCGGCTCGCGGGCCTGGCCCGGAGCACGGCGTCCAGGTGGGCCAACGTCTCCAGGAGCGAGCGGCGGGGATCGGCCGCCGCCAGCGGCCCCGCGAACGAGTCCCGCACCAGAGACCGGCACAGGTCGTGCAGCGGGGGGGACGCTCGGAGGAGGTGGCAGTGGGTGGAGAATTCTCGGAGCTGAGAGGCGGTGGCGGAGGCAGGTGGTGGGGGGGGGGGGGGGGGGGCGGAGGCGAGAGAGCAGGCCCGGATTAAGCTAGTGCGGGGCCTGTAGCATATGTTAAAAAGGGGCTCTAAATTATGAAGAAAAAAAAACGGAAATATTAAAACACAAATCTTATACTTACATAGTAAAGTAATTGTTTTTTTTTCATTTGCTATACAGCCGTATCATTTGACAAATCGCTAACCGTAAACACCCGGTCGTGCATAAAAGTTGAAGGCGGTATAGTAATATAGTAATAGAGCAAGTGTAGAATCGCTGAACCGGAATTGATAGCTTGAAAGCGTTTAGCGCGGGGCCCTTCAAAGTGCGGGACCCGTAGCATGTTTAGCTACTTTTGCCACGAGGATAATCGGGCTATGCGAGAGGGAGGATTGGGGATTGGGCGTAAGGAGGTGAATATGGTATTGCTATTTTACACGATTTTCTTACACGCTTGGACATCATTACAACATCGGCCACTTTGTTGAGTTATAATTTGCCATGGACAGGTCGCTTCTGGAAAAGAGCGACCCAGCTCAGTGGGTTCTTAGCTGGTAAAATAAAGATAGTTTAGCTTCGTTTAGCTTATCAAGGACCACCGTCTCGTATTCTTGAAATAAAGGTTTGTTTGAACGAATTTGGTTCTTCTTGTTATTTTGTTTGCCAACTCCTGGACTACGGCCTTGGAAGTGCACATCACGCGAGAAACGTGGATTCCAAATGCAAGCTCGGGCAAGGGAGCAATCCAACAACAAAATGACAACAAAACAACAACAACACAAAAAAGAGACAACAACAGCAGAACAACAACACAACAACAAATCAACAGCACAACAACAAAACAGCAAAACAACAGCAAAAACAACACACCAACACAACAATCCAAGCCATGAGCACGAGCATGAGTTATGGTCCCGAAGAGTGAGAGAGTTAAGTGCCTTGGTGGCCGTGTTTTGGAAGGTCTGCGGCCCACAAGGCAGTTCCTCAGGGCTTCGGGTTCAATTGACCAGTGCCGGATGATCCTTGTAGCAAAAGTAGCTACATCTGTAGTAGCTACGGGGCCCGCACTTTCAAGGGCCCCGCGCTAAACACTTTCAAGCTATCAATTCCGGTTCAGAGATTCTGCACTTGCTCTATTACTATTGTACTATACCGCCTTCAACTTTTATGCACGACCGGGTGTTTAAGGTCAGCGATTTGTCGTATTATCTGGCTGTAAAGCAAATGAAAAAATACAATTATTTTACTGTGCAAGCAAAAAATGTGCGTTTTTTATTTTACGCGTTTTTTTTTTAATTTAGAGCCCCTTTACAACATATGCTACAGGCCTCGCACTAGCTTCATCCAGCACTGCAACTGCCCCCACCCCCCAACACTCCATCCCCCACCCACCCCCAGCTCCTCACCTGATTGGCCACTCGCTCCTGGGAGGTGGACGTCAGCTCCCGGTACACGGCCAGCACCAGCAGCACCTGCCGCTCGGCATTGTGGGCACCTGACGCCTGTCGGAAGGGAAGGGGACCGTAGGGTCAGCGGGGGGGGGAGGGGCAGAGGCGGCCGCGGAGGCCACGTGCTGGCTCCAGAGGTCAGGGGTCACTGCTGAGCCGGCACTGCTGCTGAGATCCTGAGTTCCAATCCGAGTAAATTCTCTTTCCTCTCGATCGACTCAGACCATCGGCTTACTGTCTGTAAGATGCGCCTGCCATTACTTCCACTCCGGTGGTGGGTGTTCAGCTGGGACCCAATTCAAACCCACAGTGGCCTGGTCTCAGCCAGCTGACGAAAGTCGCAAGGGAGAATTTAATCATCGCTTGCAGCTGGGGTTGGGATCGTCCACCACCCCCGCCCCTACTGATGCCGAGGAGAAATTGGCAAGGTTGACGACTGTGGCTCATGCAACTGCAATGGCTGCTTTGGGTACACGGTCCAAACCTCCCCAGAGACCCTGGCTGACAGAGGAGGTGTTCAGGCTGGCTGAGAAAAAGTGACAGGCCCACTCTCATTGCCTGTAGCATCCCACGTCCGAGAATGAGGAGGCTTACTGCAACCTTTGATTGGAGGATAGGAGGGCCGTGCGGCGCTGCAAGTATGGGTGGTGGTCGCGGATTGCTGAGGAGATGGAATCTGCCGAATCTTCGACCTCCAGGAACAGGTTTGCAGATTTCCTGAGCATTTGTGTGACGTCTTGGGGAAGGGGAATCCCTCATGGGGCAAAGTGGGGATGACTCTCGTGAGGCTGCGGTTCCTCAAATATTGGAAGAAGTCACCCACTGTGGGTGGCGGCCTCAAGTACCATCTGTTGAGGAAGGACGGAAGGCGATCCAGAGTATGAGACCAGGAATATCGCTGGGCTAAGGGAGGTTGGCGTTTGTGTGCAGACTGCCCTATATGACACCAATATAAATGTCTGGAGCACTGGACGGGTTTTGCAGGATTGGAAAGATGCCCTTTTGCCCGCCCTCTTTAAAAGGGGGACTGCACAGACTGTAACAACTAGGGGGGCATCCTCCTCCTCAGCTCAGTCCTGCAAAGATGCCGTTTGCTACAGCATGGGTGAAGGGAATTCTAACAATACCCACATCTCTCTTTATTGACCTGGCCAAGGCCTATGATACCATCGACAAATCAGGGCTCTGGGTTGTTCTCTGTGCTTTCCAGGTCCCTGACTATCTTGCTCACAATCATTATAGACCATCATGATGGTGGGCAGACCCCGGGTAAAGCTAAGTGGCCTGGAGTCAGAGCCATTCGTGTTCAACTTGGGGTGCGACAGGGATGTCAGCTGGTGCCCTATTTATTTAACATCTATTTCGATCACGTAGTTTGAGAAGCCTTCCATGGCTGTACCAGAGGAATCTCCATCTGGTACAAATACAATGGGAGGCTGATCGATGCCCGGATGCAGTCAAGGGATGGCTCTCTATGGCTCAACCATGTAATGTATGCCGATGATCTGGTAATTGCTGCTCACTCAGAGGAGGAGCTTCTACTGAACCTGGCGCGTGACACTGAGAGGTGGGGCCTTACCATCATCCCCACCAAAACTAAGCACTTTGCTGGGAATTTTGTACCATCGGACACTCCACCCACACAACTCCCAATTGGTGATAGGGCAGTTGTGGAGAGAGTGGAGAGTTTCCCATACCTGGGCAGTGTGCTCATGACCGGCTCCGGTTTAACAGCAGAGGTCTCACTCCAAATCAGTCGAGCGGCATTATCTTTTCATCGGTTGCATAATGCTGTGTGGAAGCTACCTGGTCTATCGCTCCGCACGAAGGTTCAGGTCATCTCGGCCACGGTCATTCCCTCCCTTCTCTATGCTTGCGAAACGTGGACCCCCCCTAATGGAACATCCTCGCCAGTTAGAAACATTTAGGCTGGCCTGCCAACGATCCATCCTGGGTTTAACCAGGCTGGATTGTGTGAGGAGCTCACAAATCCTTGAATGATCTGGACAAAGTCTCATCGGTGAGCTCTGCCTGATGGCAAGGCTGCGTTGGCTGGATCATGTAGCCAGCATGTCCAGTCACCACATGCCTAAACAGCTTTAGTTTGGCCGGATTGAGGGGGCTAAACGGGCGCAGAATTGGCTAGAGACGAGATGGAGTGATGTGGTACAGGAGGATGTGGAGCTGAGTGGACTTGCCAATGACTGGTACCAACGGTGTCAAGATCGGCCTCTGTGGAGGAGGCTCGTGAATGATGCTACTTGGCAACGGAGGGGGGAGGAGTGACGCTCACAACAACGAGCGGAGCGCCGGGTGGCTAAAGCACAGCAAGTTGGCACAGTAGGGGGCACAGGTGGTGCATCAGCCAGTCGTCTCAGTCAGTCGGCCTGTGGACCCTAGGTCTGCCCCGTGACCTGCCAGCAGGCGTTCGACACTTCACGTGGCCTCAACGTGCACATAGCCTGGCACAAGCGTCATGGTGACGTCACCGCACTTAGTGGTAAATGGCGGTTGTTGTTGGTGATGTGGTTAATGATGGTGATGATGACGATAATGACAGTAATGATGATGGTGATGATGGTGATGACGGTGGTGTGATGGTGATGACAGTGGTGATGACGATGGTAATGACTGTGATGATGGTAGTGATGATGACGATGGTGATAATAGTGATGATGACGATGATGACAGTAATGATGACGGTGATGACAGTGATGATGGTTGTAATGATGGTAATGATGGCGATGAGAGTGATAATGAGGGTAATGACGGTGATGATGATGATGATGGTGTTGATGATAGTGATGAACCTGTGGGTTGAATGAGCTGAAGTCAGAATCGATGATCGCTTTGCCGAGTGCTGAACGAGTCGTCCGATAGTCCACGCCACAGGCCAGGAACCAGTCTATCCGTGGCTCCAGTTCCTCCTGCACACACACACACAGACAAAGATCCCCCGGGTAGCCTTCAACAGACCGTTGGGGCAAGTGCTGTTAGTGAGCAGCAGCACGAGGAGAAGGTCACGGGGACAGACCGAGGTCCCATTGGTTGACCGACTGAGATGACTGGCCGATATACACTCACACACACGGATCCACACACTCACAAACTCACGTGCACTCACAACATCGCCCTCGCGACATCACACACACAGAGAACACAGTGATACATTAACGGACACACTCGTGCATCATTGCCGGGTGTACACGGTAAACCACAAACACAAAGACCCCCCGTATAACCTTAACAGACTGTTAGGGCAAGTGCTGTTAGCGAGCACCTATGAAGGCCGGCATGGCACTCGACGGGGTGGGTGGCCAGCACCACGCCCGGCTGCCTTTGTCTCCCCAGTGGCGATATTTACACACCGCACCAGGTACTCGTTTGGGGCTACCTACACACAACAACCACCGTTCGCCATGAAGTCACGGTGACGTCACCACGGTGCATGTGCCAGGATAAGTGCACCTTTGAGGCTGTCAAGTAAAGTGTCGCTACTGCCAGAGGACGTCACGGGACAGACCCAGGTGCCATGCGTTGACTGCTGTGCCAGGCTAGGTGCAGGAGGAGGAGCTCACCGGACAGACTCAGACAGAGGCAATGCCGACATGGGGCCATGGCCTTCTAAACTAGTCAATTTTTTATTTTACCAGGTAATGCCCACTGGGCTACGCAGCTCTCTTTCAGAAGTGACCTGGCGAGAAGTGATAGCTCAACAAAGCGACTCATCACGTGGAGATTTGTTGCGGCTAAATACGCTTAAACGCACGTTGAGGTGCGGGGGGAAACATTGACGCGTCTGTGGAGAGAGAGACATGAAAACTTCAAATATACAGCAGCAGGCGTCAGGGTCGAGATCGAACCCCCGACCTCCTGCATACCGGGCGAGGTAGTCAACATCTCCCAGCCACCCTCGCCCTTCTCACCTCCCGGCCGTGCAGCTCGGGGGGCAGCAGCCACGGGAAGCGGTGGCAGAGCGACGGGAGCCGGTCGAGTCCGAAGCGACTCGCCAGGGAGCGGAGCAGGTACAGCTGGGGCCAGGCACCTCCCGGCCGCCAGCACAACTCCTCCGCACGCTGCACGAGGCCCTCGCACTCCGACGCTAGCGCAGCGCCCGTCTCTGTGGGTGGATTCATGGCGCGTGTTCCGGGTGAGTCGTCTATGGGGTCTCTGTGTGAGTCTATGGGTCTCTGCGCTAGTCTATGGGTCTATGCGTGAATCTACGGGTCTCTATGTGAGTCTTTATCAGTCTCTGTGTGAGTCTATAGGATCTCTGTGTGAGTCTATGGGGTTAACGGCGCATGCATTCTGCATGAGTCTGTGGGTATCTGTGTGAGTCTGTGGGTCTCAAAGACTCTTAGACGCACACAGTGACTCATAGAATCAGAAAAAGACCCGTAGACTCACACAGAGACTCATAAATGCACTCAGTGTGAGTCTATGTGTCTCAGTATAAGTAGTGTATGGGTCTCTGTGCGAGTTGTCTGTGGGTCTCGTCATAATGGGGGTGTTCCCTGTTATAACGGAACACATTTCACGTTAGAACAGCGCCTGTTGCGTTATAACGGTGCCCGTTCCACATTATAATGGTGCGTGTTCAGCGTTAGAACGACGCTCGCTCCGCGTTATAAGTGTCCATTATACGTTAGAACAGCGTCTCATTCCGCGTTATAACGGCGCATGCATTCTGCATTACGTGGCCCGTTCCGCCTTATAACAGCGTGCGTTCCCCGTTATAACGGTGCCCGTCCCACGTTATAACGGTGCATCCGTACCGCGTTAGAACTGTCCGTTTCACGTTAGAACGGCGTCCCATTCCACGTTGTAATGGTGTATGTGCCGTCCGCGACGCGTGAACATTTTCACCTCACGGAAACGACCGTATCGGTACGAAAGCTTGTTGTCGCGTGAAGACCGGTGCGTCAGGCGAGGACTTATCGCACTGCCAAATAGGGTACCCAGAGATTAAAAAAAAAACCTTGATCGGTCTTCGGTCCTACAGAGCCATAAACGAGCAGATTGGGCGGTGAAGGTTGGGGGGATAGCAACGGGTAAGAGAGCGGTAATCTCAATCAGTTCTCAAGCGGAAGCGAAGATTGCGAGCAGACAGAAATCCGGCAGACGTAAGCCCTTCGGTGACATTTTCTCGTCATTTCCCAGTGTCCGTCCTCCCCCTTCTCAACACGAGGTACCAAATTTGGCCGGTACAACGGACGTCTGCAGATCCTGCGTTGCATCCTGCCCGTTGGAATCTCCCGGTGGGGTTTTGGGCCTGGGCACCCGCGTGCTGCTTTGATAAACAATAACAACAACAATGAATCACCGAGCAGCTGGTGAAGGATCTGCCCGGTCGTGTCGAGACACGCCCGGGTTTCGGCCGTCTGCTGGAGCGCATGGATGTCGACGGCTGGGAGCGGAGGTTGCAGCGAATTCCGCTGCTGTTGTGGCGATTTTTGTTGTTGTGGCGGTTGTGGTAGTGGTGGAGGTGGTGTGAACATCAATCCCTGCCGTCGCTGCAGCAACATCCGTGCCGCTTCCTGCGGTCGCGCCGAGCTGTAGCCAGAACAGTGACGCTCCAGCTCGCAGTGTAGCATGTCCTAGGGATCGTAGAGAGACCCGTAGACTCACACAGAGACCCATAGACTCACACGGAGACCCATAGCCTCACACAGAGACCCGAAGACTCACACAGAGACCCGTAGACTAACACAGAGACCCGTAGACTCACACAGAAACCCGTAGACTCGCACAGAGACCCGTAGACTCACACAGAGACCCATAGACTCACACAGAGACCCGTACACTCACACAGAGACCCGTAGACTCACACAGAGACCCGTAGACTCGCACAGAGACCCACAGACTCACACAGAGACCCACAGACTTACACAGAGACCATAGACTCACACAGAGACCCGTAGACTCACACAGAGACCCGTAGACTCACACAGAGACCCGTAGACTCACACAGAGACCCATAGACTCACGCAGAGACCCATAGACTCACGCAGAGACCCATAGACTCGCACAGAGACCCGTAGACTCACACAGAGACCCGTCGACTCACATACAGACCTGTAGAATCACACAGAGACCCGTAGACTCACGCAGAGACCCGTAGACTCGCACAGAGACCCGTAGACTCACGCAGAGACCCATAGACTCGCACAGAGACCCGTAGACTCAAACAGAGACCAACAGACTTACACAGAGACCCATAGACTCACACATAGACCCATAGACTCGCACAGAGACCCGTAGACTCACACAGAGACCCGTAGACTCGCACAGAGACCCACAGACTCACACAGAGACCCACAGACTTACACAGAGACCCATAGACTCACACAGAGACCCGTAGACTCACACAGAAACCCGTAGACTCACACAGATACCCATAGACTCACACAGAAACCCGTAGACTCACACAGAGACCCGTCGAGTCACATACAGACCAGTAGACTTACACAGTGACCCGTAGACTTAGACAGTGAACCATAGACTTAGACAGTGAACCACAGACTTACACAGTGAACCATAGACTCACACAGAGACCCGTAGACTCAAACAGAGACCCGTCGACTCACATAGAGACCTGTAGAATCACACAGAGACCCATAGACTCACGCAGATACCCGTAGACTCGCACAGAGACCCGTAGACTCACACAGAGTCCCGTAGACTCACACAGAGACCTGTAGACTCGCACAGAGACCCGTAAACTCGCACAGGGAACCGTAGACTCACACAGAGACCCGTAGAATCACACGGAACCCCAGAGATTTAGATAGAGACCTGTAGACTCACACATAGACCCATAGACTCACGTGCAGACACATAGACTCACACAGAGACCCGTAGACTCGCATAGAGACCCGTAGACTTACACAGTGACCCATAGACTTAGACAGTGAACCATAGACTCACACAGAGACCCATAGACTCACACAGAGGCCCGTCGACTCACATTCAGACCTGTAGAATCACACAGAGACCCGTAGACTCACGCAGAGACCCGTAGACTCGCACAGAGACCCGTAGACTCACACAGAGACCCGTAGACTCATGCAGAGACCCGTAGACTCACACAGAGTCCCGTAGACTCGCACAGAGACCCGTAGACTCGCACAGAGACCCGTAGACTCACATTCAGACCTGTAGAATCACACAGAGACCCGTAGACTCGCACAGAGACCCGTAGACTCACACAGAGACCCATAGACTCGCACAGAGACCCGTAGACTCGTACAGAGACCCGTAGACTCACACAGAGACCCGTAGAATCACACGGAACCCCAGAGATTTACATAGATACCTGTAAACTCACACAGAGACCCATAGACTCACCTGCAGACACATAGACTCACACAGAGACCCGTAGACTCGCACAGAGACCCGTAGACTTACACAGTGACCCATAGACTTAGACAGTGAACCATAGACTCACACATAGACCCGTAGACTCACACGGAACCCCGGAGACTCACACAGAGATCTATAGACTCACGTGCAGACACATAGATTCACACAAGAGACCCGAAAACTCACACAGATACCCGTAGACTCACACAAATATAAGATGACGATGGACGTTCAACTTCTTTAGCACTGCACGTAGCCAACCGTGCTAAAATCGGAGATGCGGTTCGGTGATGAAGACGTCATCACTACGAGCCATGCTCTACTCACTGCTGGGTACTCACCTCGAAGCAGCTGACGATGAGCACGCACAGCTGTGAGAGATCTGCGACCCTAGGGGATGGACGCTGCTGTAGACTGATGAGGTGTCGATCCAGGTGCTCACGCACCTCCTCGCCGCTGCACTCGCACGCACGACGACGATAATGACGAAGGTGAAGCTGATGATGTCAGCAGTAGTAGCAGTGGTGGGGTCATCGTGCCTCGCCAGACTTTATCGTCACTTGCATCCCGCGGCACTTTTCAGGAACGCATCCCAACACTGCCGCTGCTACTGCCGCTTCTACTGCCGCTAGAGCCGCTACTGCTACTGCTGCTTCTACTGCCACTTCTACTGCCCCTACTGCTGTCCCCGCTACAGCTGCTACCACTGACACAACTGCTGCGGCCGCCGCCGCTAGCGCATTGAACGAGCACTCGCCGTGCCATCAGCGCCTACGCTCGCCGAGTCCTCGACGGGGCACAGAGTTTTGGAAGTTTGGCGATTCACTCCCCACGCAGAAGCTCGCAGCGGTTTAGGAGCGATCAAAGCAGCACCGCTCGCACTCAAGAGAGGTAGAGATAGAGAGAGAAGAGGGAGGAGGGAGGACGACTCAGAGGCGCAGGAGGAGGAACCAGCGACAAGCAGGGGGAGGCAGCAGCAGCAGCCACGCCACGGTGAGGAACCGGCCCTACCGAACATTGCCCAAGTTTTGCGGCCCTCTAGAAGTAGATATGTTTTTGGCCAATTAAATGGGTGCTCTATGCGTCGCAGGAAACGGCAGCACCCGGTGAAATCCCTTCGCATGCGAGGGGGCAACACTCTATTCCGTAGAAACGAGACAGACGGAGATTCGTGCGCACTTTGCTGTACCGCCTAGCGAGCCAAGGGGCACGGCTTCTCCTCGAAGGCCCCGACGGGAAGGGAGTTTAGAAACCTCCGTGTGTGATCCAGCAACCCTCGCCGGTGCCTGCCTAGTGCTGTACTACAGGCAACCTACGTGCAGCACAGCCCTGTACTACAAGCAACTACGTGCAGCACAGCCCTGTACTACAGGCAGCCACGTGCAGCACAGCCCTGTACTACAAGCAACTACGTGCAGCACAGCCCTGTACTACAAGCAGCGCTGCAGGGTGCGGGACGCTGACGAGGTGGGGGCGGTCGCACGTCGACCCCAGGAACGATTCGCGCGGCGGCCAGGGCAGAGGGAAGGAAGCGACGGCGCTCGGCGCGCTGGGGGCAAAGGCGGCCACTTACACGTAGCGGAGCAGCAGCTTGAGCAGTGCCGAGCGCCGGGGCCGGGCTCGGGCGGATGCAGTCCGCCCAGGGGCTCCCCTCTCCGCACTGCGTCCCCTCTGGAAGGCCGCCAGATGCACGACAACAACAACAACAACCCCACCGATCGATTAGCGAGCGGTGGGTTTCCACGTGAACGCGACCACGTTTAATTCAGGGGCTGTTGTTGTTGTCTTGGTGTGGTGTAGGGTTGTTGTTGTCTTGGTGTGTTCTGGGGTTGTTGTTGCCTTGGTGTGGTCTGGGACTGTTGTTGTTGTCTTGGTGTGGTGTGAGACTGTTGTTGTTGTTGTCTTGGTGTGGTGTGAGACTGTTGTTGTTGTTGTCTTGGTGTGGTGTGAGACTGTTGTTGTTGTTGTCTTGGTGTGGTGTGAGACTGTTGTTGTTGTTGTCTTGGTGTGGTGTGAGACTGTTGTTGTTGTCTTGGTGTGGTCTGGGACTGTTGTTGTTGTCTTGGTGTGGTCTGGGACTGTTGTTGTTGTCTTGGTGTGGTCTGGGAGTGTTGTTGTTGTCTTGGTGTGGTCTGGGACTGTTGTTGTTGTCTTGGTGTGGTGTGAGACTGTTGTTGTTGTCTTGGTGTGGTGTAAGACTGTTGTTGTTGTCTTGGTGTGGTGTGAGACTGTTGTTGTTGTCTTGGTGTGGTGTAAGACTGTTGTTGTTGTCTTGGTGTGGTCTGGGACTGTTGTTGTTGTCTTGGTGTGGTGTGAGACTGTTGTTGTTGTCTTGGTGTGGTCTGGGACTGTTGTTGTTGTCTTGGTGTGGTGTAAGACTGTTGTTGTTGTCTTGGTGTGGTCTGGGACTGTTGTTGTTGTCTTGGTGTGGTGTGAGACTGTTGTTGTTGTCTTGGTGTGGTGTGAGACTGTTGTTGTTGTCTTGGTGTGGTGTGAGACTGTTGTTGTTGTCTTGGTGTGGTGTAAGACTGTTGTTGTTGTCTTGGTGTGGTGTGAGACTGTTGTTGTTGTCTTGGTGTGGTCTGGGACTGTTGTTGTTGTCTTGGTGTGGTGTGAGACTGTTGTTGTTGTCTTGGTGTGGTCTGGGACTGTTGTTGTTGTCTTGGTGTGGTGTAAGACTGTTGTTGTTGTCTTGGTGTGGTCTGGGACTGTTGTTGTTGTCTTGGTGTGGTGTGAGACTGTTGTTGTTGTCTTGGTGTGGTGTAAGACTGTTGTTGTTGTCTTGGTGTGGTCTGGGACTGTTGTTGTTGTCTTGGTGTGGTGTGAGACTGTTGTTGTTGTCTTGGTGTGGTGTGAGACTGTTGTTGTTGTCTTGGTGTGGTGTGAGACTGTTGTTGTTGTCTTGGTGTGGTGTGAGACTATTGTTGTTGTCTTGGTGTGGTCTGGGACTGTTGTTGTTGTCTTGGTGTGGTGTGAGACTGTTGTTGTTGTCTTGGTGTGGTGTGAGACTGTTGTTGTTGTCTTGGTGTGGTGTGAGACTGTTGTTGTTGTCTTGGTGTGGTGTAAGACTGTTGTTGTTGTCTTGGTGTGGTGTAAGACTGTTGTTGTTGTCTTGGTGTGGTCTGGGACTGTTGTTGTTGTCTTGGTGTGGTGTGAGACTGTTGTTGTTGTCTTGGTGTGGTCTGGGACTGTTGTTGTTGTCTTGGTGTGGTGTAAGACTGTTGTTGTTGTCTTGGTGTGGTCTGGGACTGTTGTTGTTGTCTTGGTGTGGTGTGAGACTGTTGTTGTTGTCTTGGTGTGGTGTAAGACTGTTGTTGTTGTCTTGGTGTGGTCTGGGACTGTTGTTGTTGTCTTGGTGTGGTGTGAGACTGTTGTTGTTGTCTTGGTGTGGTGTGAGACTGTTGTTGTTGTCTTGGTGTGGTGTGAGACTGTTGTTGTTGTCTTGGTGTGGTGTGAGACTGTTGTTGTTGTCTTGGTGTGGTCTGGGACTGTTGTTGTTGCCTTGGTGTGGTCTGGGACTGTTGTTGTTGTCTTGGTGTGGTGTGAGACTGTTGTTGTTGTCTTGGTGTGGTGTGAGACTGTTGTTGTTGTCTTGGTGTGGTGTAAGACTGTTGTTGTTGTCTTGGTGTGGTGTGAGACTGTTGTTGTTGTCTTGGAGTGGTCTGGGACTGTTGTTGATGTGTTGGTGTGGTCTGCGACTGAAGTGTTGAAGGCGCGTTCAGATAATCGTCACCGATGTTGGTAGTGAGCGGGAATCGAACCTGCGTAACCAGGTTCGTAGCGCAGCACGCTAACCACTACACCACCGCTCCCCACACGCTAACACACACAATTACACACACACTTACACAACAACATCCGCAATTCGCCATTAAGTGGTGGTGACAACACCACGACGCTTGTGCCAGGCTATGTGCGTGCACCTTGAGGCCACGTGAAGTGTCGAACGCCTGCTGGCAGGAGGTCATGGGGCAGACCCAGATGCCACAGGTCGACTGACTGAGACGACTGGCCGATGCACCACTTGTGTCTTTTACTGTGCCAACTTTCTGTGCTTTAGCCACTCTGCGCTCCGTTCGTTGTTGTGAGCGTCGCTCCTCCGCCCTCCGTTGTTGTTGGAGGGCGACTGCCTCCAACTGCCCAGTAGCGTCCTTCACGAGCCTCCTCCACTGAGGCCGATCTTGACACCGCTGTTACCAGTCATCGGCAAGTCGACTCAGCTCCACGTCCTCCTGTACCACATCACTCCATCTCTTCTCTAGCCCGTGCCGCGCCCGTTTAGCCCCCTCGATCCGGCCGAACAAAAGCTGTTTAGGCATGCGGTGGCTGAGCATGCGGGCTACATGACCCAGCCAACGCAGCCTTGCCTGCCGGATGAGCTCACCGATGGGACTTTGTCAAGATTTTTACACGGATTTGTGAGCTGCTCACACAATCCAGCCTGGATAAACCCAGGATGGATTGTAGGCAGGCAAGTCTAAATGTTTCTAACCGGCAAGGATGTTCCATTAGGGGGGGTCCACATTTCGCAAGTGTAGAGAAGGGAGGGAATGACTGAGGCCGAGAAGACCTGAAGCTTCGTGCGGAGCGACAGACCAGGTAGCTTCCACACAGCGTTATGCAACTGATGAAAAGATAATGCCGCTAAACTGATTCGGAGTGAGACCTTTGCTGTTAAACTTGAGCAGGTCATGAGCACACTGCCCAGGTATGGGAAACTCTCCACTCTGTCCACAACTGGCCCATCACCAATTGGGAGTTTTGGGGGTGGAGTGTCCGATGGTACAAAATACCCAGGCAGGTGCTTAGTTTTGGTTGGGCTGATGATAAGGCCCCACCTCTTAGTAGCAAGCTCCAGGTTCAGCAGCAGCGCCTCCAACTCCTCCTCTGAGTGAGCAGCAATTACCAGATCATCGGCATACATTACATGGTTGAGCAATAGGGAGCCATCCCTTGACCGCACCCGGGCATCGATAAGCCTCCGATTGCATCTGTACAAGATGGAAATTCCTCCGGTACAGCTATTGAGGGCTTCATGAACTACGTGGTCAAAATTGATGTTAAATAATGTGGGAGCAAGAGGACATCCCTGTCGTACCCCAAGGTGTACAAGGAATGGCTCAGACTCCTTGCCACGTAGTTTTACCCAGGCCCGCTTACCATCATGAAGGTCCTTTATGATCGTGAGCAGAGGGTCAGGGACTCCGAAAGCACGAAGAACAACCCAGAGCCCAGGCCTACTGATGGTATCATAGGCCTTGACCAGGTCAAGAAAGCAGAGATGTAGGTCTTGTTGGAATTCCCTATACCTTTGCTGTAGCAGACGGACGGAAAATATGGCATCTGTGCAGAACCACCCTTTCCTGAAACCACATTGGAGCTCCGCAGCGTGCCTATCAAGGCGATGTTGAACAATTCTTGCCAGGACCTTTCCCGGCACACTGAGGAGTGAGATGCCCCTGTAGTTGTAACAGTCTGTGCGGTCCCCCTTCTTAAAGAGGGGGACCACCACGGCATCTTTCCAATCCTGTGGAACCCGTCCAGTGGTCCAGAATGTTGTTATGATGTCATGTAGGGCAGTCTGTGCACAAACGCCACCCTCCCTCAGCATGTCGCCTGGGAAATCATCTCTGCCCGGTGCCTTTCTTCAACAGATGGTACCTCAACCAGCCACTCACAGGGGGTGACTTCTTCTTCCAATATTTGAGGCACCGCAGCCTCGGCAGGGTCATCCCCACTTTGTCCCACGTTGTTTTCCTGGCAGAGGGATATCCCCTCCCCCAGGACCTCACAGAAATGCTCAGCAAATCTGCAAACCTGTTCCTGGGGGTCGGAGATTGGATCACCCTTCTTTCCCCTAATGATGGTAATAGGTGTGGCGCTGCAGGTTATTTTGATGGAATTAAAGAGTGATTCGTGATCGCGGGCCATTGAGGCAGACTCCATCTCCTCAGCAACCCGCGACCACCACCCATCTTTGCATCGCCTCACGGCTCTCCGACCTCTGAGCGAAGGCTGTGGTAAGCCTCCTCATTCTCTGACGTGGGATGCTGTAGCCAATGAGAGTGGGCCTGTTGCTTTTTTTCAGCCGGCTTTAACACCTCCTCTGTCAGCCAGGGTCTTTGGGAAAATCTGGACTGTGACCCAAAGCAGCCATTGCAGCTGCATGAGCCACCGTCCTAAACCTCGCCCATTTCCCCTCGACATCAGGAGGAGTGGGGGACGATGCCAACCCCAGCCACAAGCGATGATCAAATTTTCGCTTGCAACTTTCATCAGCAAGCTGAGACCATACCACTAAGGGTTTGAATGGGGTCCTGGGTGTACACCTACCAGCGGAGTGGAAGAATGGCAGGTGCATCTAACAGATGACAAGTCGAAGGTCAGTGGGCAGATCAGCTCCACGGTAGGTCCTGGTGTCAAGGACATGGGCCCGCATTCGCTGTTCCGTCACTATGTAGTCCAGCAGATGTTCTTGCTTGGACCCGGCATGTATCCATGATGTGGTGTGGATGCACCGATGCTGGAATAGCGTGTTGGTAATTACAAGCCCATGGGCTGCACAAAAATCTAGCAGCCTCCTGTCGTTGTTATTGAGCTGATCTGGCGCATGCCTTCCAATCACTCCAGACCAGGTGCCAGCATCATGACCAACTCGGGCATTGAAGTCACCCAACAAGATGACTCTATCCTTGAGGGGCCAATTTAGCTAGCACCTGTGACAGGAGGTCATAGGGAGGCATCTGACTCATCGGCCTTGCCTGCATCCCTCCACAGATGTTCACCTTCCCATCAACCTCTGGTTGGGTGAGCCCAAAGTAGCCTGGGGCTTCCAGCTGCCCACACCTCACCGCCACACTCCCACACCAACTTCATTCTTTAATTCAGAAGGGCCACACTCTGTTGTTTGGCAGTCTCCTGCCCCGAGTAGAGGACTGTCCACCCCTCATGGTGACAGGAGCCAGAGCCGGACCACCGGACCTCCTGAATACTACAAAGATCCAGGCAGTACCGGTCCAGCTCCCGGCAGAGGAGTGGCAGCCTCTCCTCCGCAGTGAGCGTTAGAACATTCCACGTGGCAACATGTAGTGTTTTTTTGTTGTTTCTGGAGGAGCCCCGAGGGCAATGATTCAGTCTCCTGGCTCCGCCAAATGGGGTTTGGCCAGGAGACGTCATAGACGCCTGTCCCCCCGGGGCCTCCGGCACAAGCTCATTTATAAAATTTTGTCGTCGTGGTTTAGTGGTAATAAATGAAGGTGGATGGGTTACCAGCCCCTCACACCCGCCCAGAGCCCCCATTTGCCACTGTGGTGGTTACAAAGGCCAATCGGAATTGGCCCTCCCCCCACAGCACTACCCACCACAGCGTTGCCCGTCCGGCACCATGAGGAGGTACACCTACACACACGCACTCACCGGTGCTCTGCTCGAGGAGCAGCATGTCGAGGAGGCGGTGCAGGACGGGGTGCGATGGCGCCGCACGGCCCCGGAAGCTCAGCTGAGACACGAGCTCAGTGAAGAAGACCGCCACGACGCTGCACAGCGACTCGCGTGCTTTCTTGCGCGCCCTGCACATATGGATTCAAATATTGCATGTCCACAGGTTGGCCGTGTGCACACAGACAAAGAGGTGGCTCACGAGTGGCACAGGGTGCCTTTAAGGGGGGCTTAACACTGGCACAGGGTGCCTTTAAGGGTGGCTCAACAGTGGTGCAGGGTGCCTTTAAGAGGAGCTCACGAGTGACACAGGGTGCCTTTAAGAGGAGCTCACCTGTGGGGCAGGGTTTTGGTATTCCTCACGCAGGAGCTGAGCAGGGCCATCGTCGTCTCCAGTGGTGCCAGCTGCTTCATATCCGAGTTGAGGGCAAGTGCCTGCAGACAGAGCGAGGCGGACAGGAGGAAGACGCGGTTAACCAGCTACCACCGTACAAACTCGGTTAACCAGCTACCACCGTACAAACTCGGTTAACCAGCTACCACCGTACAAACTCGGTTAACCAGGTACCGCCCTACATACTCGGTTAACCGACTGCCGCTGTACAACCTCGGTAAACCAACTACACATGCACACACTCATGGCGACATACACACATATGCATGCACAGACACACGCACACACGGACACAGACACATGCACACGCGCAGCTGTGTACCTGCCACAGCGCGGCGGGGAGAGGAGAGGTGAGACGCAGCAGAGCGGCGTCCTGGCGGCTTCCCCAAACCACGTGCTCCACCAGCAGAGACACGCACAGCACGCGCTGCAGCAGCATCCTGAGACACACGGAGACACAGAGACACGGAGACACACAGACACGCACAGCACGCGCTGCAGCAGCGTCCTGAAATACACGGAGACACAGAGACGCGGAGACACACAGACACGCACAGCACGCGCAGCAGCAGTGTCCTGAGACACATGGAGACACAGAGACACCGATAAGCAGAGACACGGAGACACCTAGACATAGAGACACTGATACACGAAGACACGGAGACACAGAGATACCGAGACACAGAAACACCGAGACACGGAGACCCTCATTTCGAAGAGATGCTCAGCTGGTTGAGTTACACCGACGTCTTACTCGCCTCGTGAGTGACAGTGACCCCACCCCCCCCACCGCCCCCTCACCGCCCCCCCCCCCCCCCCCCACCACGCCCGGCGAGAGTTTGGCGAGTAGCCGGGCCGCCCCTTTCTCACCTGGTGAGCGCGACGAGCGAGCGGCCGCCCGGGCCGCACTGCCCCCCGTAGTCCGCGCTCGCCATCCGCTCCATCACGGACCGCACGGCTCCCACGCGGCTGAGCCAGCGGCCCCACGCGGCCGCCGCCTCGGCCTCCTCCGCCTCCTCCGGCCGAGCGGGAGGCTCCAGGGACTCGAGGCAGGAGACGGCAGTCTGCAGGTCCAGGGTCTGCGCGGGACGGAGGCACGGCGAGGGGTGACGCGCTCGGGGCGCTGGGCGCTGACCGCTACCGATGTGACCACTACCACCATCGCCGCCACTGCGGCCACTGCCACCACCTTCGCCACCACTACTGCCATCGCCGCCGCCACTGCGGCCATCGCCGGCACCGCCACCACCATCACCACCACCGTCACCATCGGCACCACCATCCCCGCCACCGTCACCGCCACTATCACCACTACAAACACTTTGCCACTCCGAAACCCACCATCTCCGTCGCGCCCCCCTGGCGCTCGCTCTGCTCGGCGATCCTCTCCGCCACGTCGGGGAACGCGGCCGCCAGACGCAGCAGGTTCTGCAGCTGCGGGCGCACCGTCTCCAGCGCCGCGTGGACTCCCACCGGCGACATCTTGTCCAGGCCCCATTGCTCGGCCGACGCTTCTGCCAGTGCCAGGCACAGCAGCTGGTGGCCGTGCGGTGGGGGGGGGGCAAAGAAAGGAAGTTGAGCGGGCCGCATGGATCGCATGCCAAGAGATGCTGTCAGACGCACCGCAGCATCTGTCGGCGTTTGCATTGAGATTGTACCGGTCACCCCTCTTCTGCATTGTCCTTGTACCGGTCACTCCCCTTCTGCATTGCCCTTGTACCGGTCACCTGCCCCCCCCCCCCCCCCACTCTGGCAACAGGGAGACGAGGCCACTCCGCATTATCGTAGTTCGTCGTCGACCGTTCAGAAACCGAGATATAACGGCCGCGCATTCCATGATAACACGGCGCGCACGTTCCCCGTTATAACGGTGTGTGGGTCGGGGGTGGTGGTGGGGTTACCTGGAGCTCGTTGGGGGTGCGTATGGGAAAGGAGGTGGCGACGAGGTCGTGGAGGTAGAGCAGGGAGAGCTTCGAGCGGCAGGAGGGGCCCAGCTGTGAGCAGAGCGAGCCGAGGCACGACGAGGTGAAGAGCCCCGGGAGGCGTCGCTCGCTCGACTCGCCACCCAGCGACCCTGCACACAACGTCGTCGTCAACATCATCATCGTCATTCTCATCGTCATCGTCAGCGCCGTCAACATTGTCGACATCATCAACATCGTCGACATCATCGACATCATTGTCATCATCATCGACATTATCATTGGCATCATTATGATGAATGTGGTCTAACTCGCTCACCTGTCAGGATAGGGAGAGGTACAAAGAGCTAAACAAAATGATTGTGACCGAACGGTGCGCCTGTGTGAGCTTTCCCGTGATCCGGTGATCGTTTAGCCACGTGGCCCGGCGGTAACGGCGCGCGGCCGCTCGCAGCTGGTGCCGGTGGGGAGAGAGTCTCACTGCTCAGGTGCTTGGCCTCCCACCACAGCTGCTCCAGCTGCTGCCGGAAGATCCAGCTGAAGGGCAGGGCGCAGCCTTGCCCCTGCAACGCTCGCTGCTGCTGCTCCCCGTAGGAGGAGGGCATTCGGATCTCCTTCCTCCTGCCCCTGCACGCGCCGATCGCGGAAGGGGGGCCATGGGTGAGGGCCCGATGGCCGTGGCTGTCAATGCGGTGGTGATGATGAATGTGAAGGTGACAATGATGATGATGTGAACATGATGATGATGAATGTGAAAATTACAATGATGATAAAGATGACAATGAACATGATGACGATGATGGTTACGGTGAAGATGATGATGATGGAAATAAACCTCGACGATGAACAGAAACATGATGACGATCATCTTGCTGCTGCTGGTAATGTCAACATGATGATTATGATGATGATAGCGATGATTCGGCTCCTGCTGATGACGATAATGAGCGTGATGATCACGGTTTTATTGTGATACAGCCACCCCTCCTTTAATTCTGGGGCATCTCACGGTGTTTTCCATGCACTAAGCGACAAACAGATCAGATCATAGTAATAGGTTTTTACCCTTTTACCTGGCAACAAAACTGACACCTTTATACAAGGGATCATGTTTGCATTAACCACAACACTTGCGGTCAAAATGCAAACAAAAACACAACGCTGATAATGTATGCACTGTCCTTGAAATTGATTGGTCCACACCCGAGACAGCTTTTTTTAGAGCCTAGTCTCACATTGGTGTTGGACCAGATGACGCCAAAAGGCGCACAACTCAAAGACACCCCCAGTGGCAGCTGTCACTGTGTGGCTATTCAGAATCAGAATCTGTAAACTGAAGGAGCAATCCGATGAGCTATGAAGCTCTTTTTCACAAACATGTCCAGTCTGGGCACGGAGTAAGGACGTTTCAACAACAAATGGTTACAAAAACACGACAGTAGTGCCAAGTACAAGAAAGGTAAACAAATCACCCAGACAACAAACAAACACAACAATAAACCATCCCCATCCTACCAGGCAAAGCCCCATTGAAGTATTAAACTTATTGTTCAAAAGCGTCCGGGCCACAAATGATAGCCCAACAAAGTGGCTGATCATTTGAACATTTGCAGCCTGGCAGTCGGGGGGTGATGATTGCTGTTGCTGCTGTGTGTGGTCTAGCCTAGGGGCACCCCGAGTGGCAGCTGCCCATGTGTGGCACGAGGCGACTCAACACCTGGTTCTACGATTGGGCCTTTAGTCTGCTGCAAGCAGAGGGGCGATGATTGCTGCCGTGCGATTCAAATCGAGTGATTTGACGACGACGAAGTCCGCAAGCTCACCAACTGATGTCGTTGCTGTAGGGCACGTGAAGCACACGCGTGTCACGGAACACCTGCATCCACAGCGAGCGCAGCTCCTGCGGCAGGTCGGCCCGAGTCAGGAGGTCGAGGTTGGAGTCCCGGTCCACGACGGACAGCAGCTGAGCCAGCAATGGGGTGACCACGGCCTGCAGGCGGCGCCACAGGGTGTGCCTGCGCACAAACAACGACGGCACAAAATGGCGGTTTAGTTTCAGTTTAATTTATTTGGAATAACCCTGTGAGCCATTCGGGTCTTGATTCGGGTGCAACTGCAACAAATAATAAAATTACAAGATACATTTTTACATTTACTGGACGCAAATTTAAACATTCCCTACAAAAACAATAAAATATTCCAGAAAAAGCACCAATTGTTTATGCTGCGTACAAAAATGTGCAAATAAAATCACATTTTGATGTTTTATCACAATAACAATCATAATACAATTTAGATTAAAATGTTTAGTCTAACTCTAAACTATATAAAAAAAATCGGGATAAACTTAACCTTTCTAGAAATTACTAAAATAATGCTATAAAAACAATGTAACGGTGACCATAAGAAATTTGATTGAAAGTTAACAATAGCGACATACATAACATATATTACTAAACCTAGCGTCCTTTACTAGCTGCATGAGTCAATACATAATAGCAGGAGTAACAATAGTAGTAGCAGCACACTAAAATCAAAATACATGATCATTTCTCGCATTGGTCACATATAGCTATATATTTGATTTCAGGCCACTGGATAGCAGTGGCAGCTACGGTTGTACAACTCCTCTAGAGCAGTTTTGAGTGGTGGTAGTTAGGTAGTGATCCAGGCTGGGACAGACCCGATTGCATCGGGTTGACTTACCGTGCCTGGCTAGGTGTAGGTCACCACAGATAGGGCAAGGTGCTACCGGTTGACTGACTTGGATGACCTGCAGATGCACCACCCGTGTCAGCCTGCTACGTTCTAGCCGCCCCCGTAAGTAGAGATAAGCACATGGATAACGATACACGGACAAAGATCCCCTGGATGGATTTTACAGACTGTTGGGGCAAGTGCTGTTAGCAAGCACCTATGAAGGCTGGCACGGCACGAGCGGGTGGGTGGCCAGCACCACGCCCGACTGCCTTTGCTTACAGACCGCACCAGGTACTCATTTGAGGATGAGTCGACCTAAGGGAGACCCATGATCGGTTCAGATGATCGTCGCTGGTGTTGGCCGTGAGCGGGAATCGAACTCGGGCCGCCGGGTTCGTAGCGCAACATAGCGCTAACCACTGTGCCACCGCTCCCCATAATGCACACACACACACAGACCAACACACGGTCTGTATGCAGCAACAGCAGTGAATGACAGGTGCGATGCACTTTCACTGATGATGTGGATGGCGATGATGATGATGACGGTAACCCTGAATGGTGATCATAACGATCGTAACGATGACGCTGCTGCTAATGGGAACAATGGCGGTGATGACGACGATTATGACGACGTTGATGAAGCTGTCGAAAACGACGACGATGATGATGATGACGACGATGTTGGTGACGCTGACGATTATGATGATGGTGACGATGACGACGACGATGTTGATGAAGCTGATGATCACGATGGCGACGATGATGACGATGTTGATGAAGCTGATGATGATGATGACGACGATGACAACCACGGCGTTGGTGAAGCTGATGATCACGATGACAACGATGATGACGACGACCACGACGTTGGTGAATCTGACGATCACGATGATGACGATAATGTTGATGACGCTGACGATGATGACGATGAAGTTGGTGAAGCTGACGATCACGATGACGGCAATGCTGATGGTGGACAGCGGACGTGTGGCTACCGAAAGGAGCCGCCCTCCTGGATGGCCTTCACTTTGCAGGCCTCTTTCAGCATCCAGTCACGCGGCGCATCCGTGTCCTCGTCCCTCCTCCTCATCAGACGAAGAATCTGCCTCATCAGCTCCTCCGAAAATTCCCCTACGGAGAGTGACAACGCGGTGCACTGTGAGAGCCGTCGCTGCACGCGCAATGCATTATGGGAGCCGCACAACCACCACCAGACACGCGGTTCATTGTGAGAGCCACACACCACCAGCTTGTGACCCGACACGTGGTGCATTGTGGGAGCCACACACCACCAGCTTGTGATCAGACACGCGGTGCATTGTGGGAGCCACACACCACCAGCTTGTGAACAGACACGCGGTGCATTGTGGGAGCCACACACCACCAGCTTGTGAACATACACGCGGTGCATTGTGGGAGCCACACACTACCTGCTTGTGAACAGATACGCAGTGCATTGTGGGAGCCACACACCACCAGCTTGTGACCACACATGTGGTGCATTGTGGGTGGCAGGGTGGCACAGTGGCTGAAGCTCGTGCCTCACAGCGACAAGGGGCCCTTCTGTGCTCGACTCCCCGGATCGGGCGCTCCTCTCTGTGTATGGAGCTCTTAGTGTTCACCCTGCCTCCTCCTCCGGGTTCCCCCGCTGCTTCTCAACGTGGATCCGGAGAAGCTTGGCCGAACGCCGCCCCAATGCTGAGGCAATTCCCTGCGCATCCCCCGGCGGGTTCGATTCGCTGCCGTTTTCTGCCCCAACCACACAATTGGAACACGCGTTGGCCCAAAGACCGCATCGCCCAGGCGGAGAAATGCCACTCAAAGTACCCAGTTAGGGTCGCACGGCACCAGCAACATCACTGCCGCCTCCTCCCCCGCCTTGTACCGCGGGCACGTGAGCCGTTCATATTTGGCGAAGCTCTCATGACAAGAGCAAATCGAGTGATCCTGACTACTGTCATTTAATCGTGGTAGTAATAGTAATAACTTCAACTTGTAACCCATCGCTATCGCAGTATTCGCTCCATGATCTCACGGAGATAGAGGACGACTCATAGAGATGGGCTCACCGTGTGTCTCGAGCAGCTGCAGCAGCAAGTGGACACGCCGCGTGGATCGGGTGGAGAGCGCGGGGGGGTCCCGCAGCGAGCTGCACGCCGCCTGCACGCAGCTCGCCACCAGGCGGCGGGCGCTGCCCGCGGACGTCTGTTGGTGCACAGACATAGATGCCGATCCAGCCCCCGCACCACCACCCCCCACCACCCCCACCACCGAACCCCCCACCACCGAACCCCCCCACACCCCAACACCCCCACCACCGAACCCGCGTGAGAACCAAGCGTAGTGACAGCAGCGGTAGCAGTGACATGGCGCAGCAGTAAAATCATGTAGGTAGTTATCACTGAAGGCCTAGGAAACAGAAGTGGCTCAGGCCTACAAGAAACTTAATCCGGCCCTGTCGCGATCCCACAGAGCCGAGACGGCGAATTTAGAACCGATGACACAATTGGTATCAAAGCTGCCGGGCCTTGCTCCATACCAGCCAAGGTGTTCGGCTGGGCACACTCCGCAGGTAACCTCTCCGCTCCTCCTCCGGCTCCTCCCCCTCTGTGCTTTCTGTTGGGAGGGGGAGGGGCGAATAAGACAAAGGGCCCCCCAGGATAGCCTTGAACAGACGGTGGGGGCAAGTGCTGTTCGCGATGGGTACCGGTTGATGCACCACCTGTGCCCCCTACTGTGCCAACTTGCTGTGCTTTAGCCAACCGGCACGTTGTTGTGAGCGTCGCTCCTCCGCCCTCTGTTGTTGTTGGAGGGCGACTGCCTCTCACTGCCCAGTAACGTCCTTCACGAGCCTCCTCCACTGAGGCCGATCTTGACACCGCTGGTACCAGTCATCAGCAAGTCCACTCAGCTCCACGTCCTCCTGTACCACATCACTCCATCTCTTCTCTAGCCCGTGCCGAGCCTGTTTAGCCCCCTTTATCCGGCCAAACAAAAGCTGTTTAGGCATGCGGTGGCTGGGCATGCGGGCTACATGACCCAGCCAAAGCAGCCTTGCCTGCCGGAGGAGCTCACTCATGGGACTTTGCCTGCATGCCCAGCACACGCACACACAATTAACCTTCCGGCTGTCTCAACGATTGGACCAATCGCAAGGATGGAGAAATGAAAGACACCCCTTTCGTAACGGTGGAATCATCGGCATCCACCGATTGGTGTTTGATTCCTCGAGCTCACGGCACTCGCAGCGCACCGAACTGTGCTGTGTGCATGCCGGGTTGTGATTTAGCGGGGCGATTTGGAGCACCGTCGGCCACCCCGGTTAATACCGCGGTGTCCGTAGGAGACTGGGACTGCCTCTCATACATGTGGACCGATTATATGGACGGCAAGGATGACGATGGGGGACGTGTTGTTGTGTTGCTTGCTGTGATCAGCCGTTCCTTTTGGACTCTCGTCTGGCGAGCACCTGAACGCGTGACCCCGCAGCAGCGCGCGAACACCTCGCTGAGAGAGAGGCCCCACATGGAGACGACGTCACCGAGCAGGTCCTCGGAGCTGCGCAGGTCGTCGATGTGGACAGAGATCCACTGGCCTGAGGGGTCACGCGCGCGGGGGCGGGCGTGAAGCAACGACACGACGGACGTCGACACGATCAACATCAACATCACAAATATCAACCATCATCACGATGAACATCAACATGATGAACATCAACACGACGAACATCAACATCACAAATATCCACAATTAACATGATGAACATCAACCATCAACATGATGAACATCAACATGACGAATATCAACATGACAAACATCAAATGATGAACAACAACATGATCAAAATCACAGCATGATGATTATCACAATATCAATGTCCCATCACTGTATATGTTCATTGTGTGGTGCTGTCCTTCCATAACAAATATTAAGGGTTACTGCTCATGGTGCTGGTGTTCCACAACCAGCACCGCCACCTACACCACCACCGCCATCAACTCCACCACTATCTCCACCATCACCACCACTGCCGCCACCATCACCACCTCCACCATCACTACCACCGCCTTCAACACCACCACATCCATCTCCACCACCACCACCACTGCCATCAACACCACCACCAGCTGTACCACCACCAGGACCACCGCCATCTCCACCACTGTGACTCACCCCCGTGGAAGCCCACGTATTCGGAGGAGGTGGTGGTGGCCACGCGCGGCAACTTGGTGATGAAGATGACGTGGACACGCGATCGTGCCGCGCCAGCCCGGCTCCTCTCGTTCATGGCGCAGTACCTGCGGTGGCACGCACGGCACACGGCACACACGCACATGGCGCACATGGCAGACCGGTGATGTAGATGACGGTGGACGTGCGACTGCGCCGTGCAATTAAGATCGGACGGTGGCGGAATCACCGATCTTGCTGCTGTGAGCCAATCAAATAAAAGGGGGAAGAGTCACGTGTTTTCATTTCAGTTTTTGAGTTTCATTGATTAGGTGTAGCCCTGTGAGTTATTCGGCTCTTGAATCGGGTGCAACCGCAACAAACAAAAATATGAACAAGAAAACATCTTAAAGTGACTATGCGCAAACAGAAAAATCCAAGAAAGCATTAGGAGAGAAGCATGGGAGGTGGGGGGAAAGGAGGGAGAGGGGGGTAGAGGGGAGGGGGGTAGAGGGGTAGAGGGGAGCGGTAGAGGGGAAGGGGGGATCGAGCGTGCTCACTTGGCGCATGCCACCAGGTTGGGTCCGTGGCTGAAATCCTCGAAGTCCGACTGGATCAGCAGAAGGCATCGCCGGTCGCCGGGCGCCGAGAACACCTCGCTGCAGACAGGGACGGCCGTCAGCCGACATCGCAAACTCTCAGCGCGAGTCCAGCGGATCGCGGACTGTTGGGGCGACTGCCGCCAGGTAGCGAATAGCGGCGACTGTGAAGGCCGGCATGGCGCACGAAGGGGGCGGGTGGCCAGCGACACGCCCGGCCGCCTTTGTCTACCCAGTGGCGATGTTTGCACGCCGCACCAGCTGCTCATTTGAGGCTTTAGGGGAGTCCCAGGAACCGGGTCATATAACCGCCACTGGGTTGATAGCGCAGCACTCTATCAGTGGCACCACCACTACCCAGCCTACCACCATCACCACCACTACCCAGCCTACCACCATCACCACCACTCCCCAGACTACCACCATCACCACCACTCCCCAGACTACCACCATCACCACCACTACCCAGACTACCACCATCACCACCACTACCGCTCCCCAGACTACCACCATCACCATCACCACCCAGACACACAGACTACCACCATCACCACCACCACCCAGACTACCACCATCACCACCACTACCACTCCCCAGACTACCACCATCACCACCACTACCCAGCCTACCACCATCACCACCGCTCCCCAGACTACCACCATCACCACCGCTCCCCAGACTACCACCATCACCACCACCACCACTACCCAGACTACCACCATCACCATCACTACCACTACCCAGACTACCACCATCACCACCACTCCCCAGACTACCACCATCACCATCACCACCACTACCGCTCTCCAGACTACCACCATCACCATCACCACCGCTCCCCAGACTACCACCATCACCACCACTACCACTACCCAGACTACCACCATCACCATCACCACCGCTCCCCAGACTACCACCATCACCACCACTACCGCTCCCCTTGACTACCACCATCACCACCATTACTGCTCTCCCAGACTACCACCATCACCACTGCTACAGCTCCTCTTGACTACCACCATCACCACCACTACCGCTCCCCAGACTACCACCATCACCACCACTACCCAGACTACCACCATCACCATCACCACCACTACCCAGACTACCACCATCACCACCGCTACAGCTCCCCTTGACTACCACCATCACCACCACTACCGCTCCCCAGACTACCACCATCACCACCACTACCGCTACCCAGACTACCACCATCACCACCACTACCGCTCCCCAGACTACCACCATCACCACCACTACCACTCCCCAGACTACCACCATCACCACCGCTACAGCTCCCCAGACTACCACCATCACCACCACTACCCAGACTACCACAATCACCACCACTACCACTCCCCAGACTACCACCATCACCACCATTACCACTCCCCAGACTACCACCATCACCACCACTACCGCTCCCCAGACTACCACCATCACCACCATTACCGCTTCCCAGACTACCCCCATCACCATCACTACCGCTCCCCAGACTACCACCATCACCACCGCTCCCCAGACTACCACCATCACTACCGCTCCCCAGACTACCACCATCACCACCACTACCGCTCCCCAGACTACCACCATCACCACCACTACCACTACCCAGACTACCACCATCACCACCGCTCCCCAGACTACCACCGTCACCGCCACTACCGCTCCCCTTGACTATCACCATCACCACCATTACCGCTCTCCTAGACTACCACCATCACCACCGCTCCCCAGACTACCACCATCACCACCACTACCGCCCCCCAGACTACCACCATCACCACCGCTCCCCAGACTACCACCATCACCACCGCTCCCCAGACAACCACCATAACCACCGCTACCGCTCCCCAGACTACCACCATCACCACCACTACCACTACCCAGACTACTACCATCACCACCACTACCGCTCCCCAAACTACCACCATCACCACCACTACCACTACCCAGACTACCACCATCACCACCGCTCCCCAGACTACCACCATCACCACCGCTCCCCAGACTACCACCATCACCACCGCTCCCCAGACTACCACCATCACTACCGCTCCCCAGACTACCACCATCACCACCACTACCGCTCCCCAGACTACCACCATCACCACCACTATCACTACCCAGACTACCACCATCACCACCGCTCCCCAGACTACCACCGTCACCGCCACTACTGCTACCCTTGACTATCACCATCACCACCATTACCGCTCTCCTAGACTACCACCATCACCACCGCTCCCCAGACTACCACCATCACCACCACTACCGCCCCCCAGACTACCACCATCACCACCGCTCCCCAGACTACCACCATCACCACCGCTCCCCCTCCCCAGACTACCACCGTCACCGCCACGGCCGTCGCTCACCGGACGCGCTTGCTGAAGGCGTGCTCCGTGTCGATCTGCTGCAGGGCCAGCAGGACGAAGTCTGCGGGCGGATCGCTCACGGCCTTGGCGATGACCGCGGCGTCCGTGGCGGTCAGCAGCCGGGCGTGTGTAGTCACCTGGTGGGGGGGTCGGATGGGGGGGAGGTGTTGATAGGGAGCTGATGATATGAGGTCCACGTTGTTGGGAAGCCAACCAGTGGATGTTCTGTCGCCAGACTTCGTTCACCCCCTACTACGATGTCACCGGTTGACGCTGCAACCGCCGCTGCGCATTGGTTGCTCCTCGCTCTTATATAGAGAGAGGGGGCGACTCAGTGAGAGGGGGGGCGGCGACTCAGAGAGAGAGAGAAAGGGGGTGACTCAGAGGAGCAAGGAGGAGGGACCACAGACGAGGAGCAACCAACAATTCCCCGAGCTCTGCGGTCCTCCATATAGTCAGCTGTTATCGCGCAATGAATGAGTGTCCATACATGCGGGAGGAAACCGGAGCGACCTAAAATAAAAAATAAAAAATTATAAAATAAGATTTTTTTTAGAACAAAATGATAAATAAACCTATAAAGGAAAATTTAAAATTAAATAATGAAACGGCAAATTGGTAAAATAATGAAATAATACAAGCTATATTATTAAGCTAAAGAATAATAAAATAATAAACATAATAATACAATTATAACGAATGAAATAATAAATAACGAGGTGGTGGAATTCATATAATAAAATAAGCAAACGGTAAAATAAATAATTAAAAGGGACATATTTGAGCAATAAAATAAATAATAAAACGGACAATAAATAATACGTAATGTTTATGAACATGTAGTAGATCATAAATAATAGTAAAATAATAACGTTAAATAATCCAGGGCACGGCTCCTCAAGCTTTACCAACATTTGTGCGATCTGTCAACGCTCTCTCCCGCAGTGCTGGATTTTGCTTGAACCTCTCCTGTCGTGTTTCTGTATTGTGTTTGTTGTTCATAAGAGGGTTTTTTTTGGGTTAGATCGCGTAAATATGAATGTGTCGTTAATCCCGCCACAGCACACCGGTGTGGCTGTAATAGTGTAGTGGCATAGAATAGTGATGTAGCAGCATAGCGCTGGCTGCTGGCAGGGAAGGGGATCTGCGGCTTACGGCAGCCCTGACGTCAGAGAGTCACGTGATACACCAGAGGGGGATCGAGGGGAAAGGACACAGAAGGGGCACACCAGGAACCTGCTGGTAGGTTCGAGAAAGGGGGGTTGGCCGGGGTTAGAGTCACCATCATCATCGTCGTTATCGTCGTTATCATCGTCGTTGTCATTGACATCGTCATTGACATCGTCATTGACATCGTCATTGACATCGTCGTCGTCATCGACATCGTCATCATCGTCATCATCTCTTCTACCCCCCCCTGCTCCACAGCTCTTACCACCAACCTCGCTCAAACCGAGCCGCGCCATCCCTCACTCTGCTACTTCACACGACTCTCATGGTGCCGCTCGTCACTTTTCACCGCTCCCCAGAACCCCCCCACCCCTGCACCCCCAGCCCCCCCCCCCACCCCAATGAGCGGCTGCTCTGAAAGCAAACACCGGGAGAGCGAGGCACTGGCGCGTGGCGGGTTACCTCCACCAGCAGGCCGTCGCTCGCCAACTCCAGCTGCTGCCGTACGAACTCCTGCAGGGAGCCGTGCCGCTGGTGCACGAAGTACTTCTGCCAGATCTCCGCCGCGGCGGCTGACAGGCCGCTGTGCCGCAGCCTCACGACGGCGTCCGGTGCCGCGCACCTCAGCAGCGTCTCCTGGGCCTCCGCGAGCGGCCCGTCGAGGCCCTCCTGAACATCCGGCGCCATGCGGCTCGCAACCTGCAGGGCCACCGCGGCGCAGGCGTCTGAGTGGTAGCCGACGATGACGGCGGCGATTCGGGGCCTTCCCCCACCGCCGGCCCTCCCATCCTCCCCCTCCTCGTCGTCCGGCCACCGGCCCCCGCTCGTTTGGTCCCCGACCATCTCCGCGAAGCTCCGGAGCCAGCGCTGGAGCGCCTCCGCCAGCCGACGCTGTCCTTCGCGCAGCACGACGCCCATGTCCAAGAAGTGCTTCTCCAGGCGGTTGACGAGCGGGACGGGGAAGTGGCGGTGGACGACGCGTGACTCCTCGATGACGACGAGGCGGAATCGCCGATGCACGCGGCACTTGACGCGGTGTGTGCCCAGCCCCAGGTCTACATACCGCTGCCCACCCAGGTGAACGTAGTACTGGTTGAGCGCGTCGTAGAGGCTCTCGTAGAGGCCCTGTAGGTTGAGCAGCACCACCATCCTGCCGGCCTCCATGCACACCTTAATGCGGTTGATGGTGCGGCACACCTGCGTGTACTCCTGGTCCCGGGGGAAGCTCGAGCCGAAGATGATCTCGGCACCATCCGCCAGGCCCAGGGAGGCGTCCTGCTGCAGGATGGAGAGCGCTGAGTAGTTCTGCGTGAGAAGGAGGAGGTACCGGCACTCGGTCTCGTCAGCGCCGGAGGCGATGTTCTCCCTGACGAGGCTCAGCGCATCGTGGCAGCCCTGGTCTGCCACGCCAAAGATCGCCAGCGGCTCGACGTCCGAACTGCCGCCAAAGTTTCTCAGGACGGCCCGCCGCAGCTCCGGCACCGTCGGCGCGGAGCCGGACCTCTGGCAGGTGCCGAACAGCATCTTGACGAGGCTGTAGAAGTCCCGGAGGCCGAAGAAGCCCCTCTTCTGCCGCTCGCACACCCTCAGGTAGCCGTCGGCCAGCGTCGAGAAGAGGCCTTCGAGCGCGGACAGGACGAGGCGATCCGACGAGCAGATCCCCCTCGCGGTCGCCACCAGCTCGGCCTTGTCCGAGCTCCCCCTGGCGACAAAAATCCCGCGGTTCATCTTGGCCGGGTCCAGGGCCCAGTTCGAAATGCCCACGAAGCCAACCTTCTGGTGGGGCTTTGGGTCGTCGTCTACGGAGCCGTCCTCCAGCAGCGGGTGCAGTGCTTTGAGCGGCATCTTTGGCGAGTCCTCGGCCAGGCCCACCTCGTCGAGGACGACGACCGACACGAACTCCTCTAGGTTCTTGCCCTCTTGGAAGCGGGCGCACTGCCTGAACGTGCCGACGATGCCCTCCGAGGTGGAGTGCGGGCTGCACTGGAAGGACACGGCGTGGATCTGCTTGAAGCGCCTGTAGAATTCCGTGGGCGCGACAAGCCCCTGCATGGCATGCGACACCACCGCCTTGGCAAGCGACTTGGAGCTGCCCGGCTTGCCGACGAGGAATAGCGGGATCCTCAGCTCGGCACACACCACCATCATGAAGACGTTCTCCCGGAGCGCGGCGTTCCTGGCGATGGTCTCGCCCAGCTCCAGGTTCCCCAGGAACAGCTCCTGGCAGGCGGTGATCTCCGCGAGCACCCGGTCGGGGTTGTCAAACGGTGCCGGCAGCTCCTCGCAAACGCTCCTCCTGTAGCCCTCGCGATCCCGCATCGAGCAGTGGTAGCAGACGCCGACGGCCACGACGAGAGCCCTCGTGACGGCGTCCAGAGCGGCGCGACCGCCCGGCGAGACCACGCAACTCGCGAAGAGCGCCTCCATCCGGGCATAGAGCCAGAGGAAGACGACGATGCACCGCTCGGCGTCGCGCAGGCTCGCGAAACCGCACTCGTCGCGCCGGCTCCGCACGTGGCACTGTGAGGCGGCCAGTGCATGAGCGACTAGAGCCGCGCCGCCCACAGGGACGCCGTGCGGTGCGAGGGCCCGCTCGACGATCTGGCCAATGTACCGCCCTTCGACGTCATCGCTCAGTCGCCCGAAGTCCCACACGAGCGGCATGAGCGAGGGCGGGAGAGGGTGCACGCGGTACACCAGGTGGCGCAGAGGGATCCCACCAAGCCTCTCCGCCGTTTGTGATGCCGCCATCCGGTAGCCCAGCCCGGATGATTCCAGCTGCCGGATCTTGGCCTCTGAGTGCATCCGGTACGGGTTGCAGGCCGCGACTATCTTGAGGCCGCAGTTGGCGTCGAACGGCTCGCCGTCGACTGTGCCGTCGCACAGGGCCTCCTTGATGGCGTGGATCGCCTCCGTAGTGTTGGCCTCATCGAAGAACAACACCGTGTCCAGCCCAAACCTCACCTTGTTGAGCCGGGCCGCGACCTCCGCCTCCCGGATCTTGGCCTGGACGTCAGCGATGGTCGTGCCGCCGTGCACCTTTAGTAGCTTCACGTTGTCGGCCTGCAGGCGGCCCCTCTGCAGGCCGCACAGGTACTTGACGAGCCTCGTCTTGCCGCAGCCCGTCTCGCCCATGACGACGACGGGGATGCCGCAGCGGAGGCGCATGTGGATGGCGAGCATCTTCAGGACGTTGTCCATCGTCAGCTCGTAGGTGGCATCAGGGTCTGAGGGCTGCGCGATCCCCAGCACCGTGCAGAGCGTCTCGACTTTGGCGTCCCGCGGCAGCGCGTCGAAGTTCACGTTGAAGTCGACGCCCTGCGCATTGAGGCTCCATTGGAGTTCGACGCCGATGGCGTCCGGCTTAAGGACGTCCCTCGTGCGAGGGTCAACCGCGTCGACGCCCCTCCGCGGGTTCAGCTGCAGGTGGAACCCGAGGAACGTCAGAGAGTGGCCGTCTGCGTTGAAGAAGACGTAGGGGTGCGGCCGGCTCTCCCACGCCTTGCGGATCTGGAAGGGCGCGAGGTCTTCTTCGCCCACGCGCCGCCGGAGCGCCTGGGGGCTCTCGTCGGAGACATCGAGGGAGGGCGTCGCGAAGTCCCGCGCCATGAGGACCACGAACTCGACGACGAAGCGCCGGAACCCGGGCAGCACGTCGCCGACGTGCAGCCGGTCACAGAACGCCGACCGCTCGCAGTCGAGCAGCTGCACGTTGAGAAACCTCAAAAAGTTGCTCAGCTCTGCCCAGGAGGGGTCAGCGACCCCGCAGTACGCCAGCACGGTGCGCAGCCACAGCGCCGGAGTTCCCTCCGCCGGGCCCGGCTTGTAGCTGAAGCTGTCGAGGTCTTGCTGCAGGCGAAGTCTCTCCAGGTACTGAAAGGGTCGCTGGTACCGCTCGCTGACGAAGAGGAGGTGGTCCATGAGCTGGCCCTGGGCCTGTCCTTGGGCCTGTCCCTGGGCCTGGGTCGACGCCTGCCGGTCGAGACACTCCCTGGGCGAGTGGCACCGCACTCCCGGGAACAGGTCCAGCAGACGCACACCGCGAGGAGCCTGACAAACGCAGACAGGCCCACTGATCATGGTGATGACGATGATGATTATTACGATGATTCATTCAATTAAAAGTAAACTATTCTTTCTTAGCTGTTTTCTTTTTTTGGATATTACATGGCTTCTCACCGAAGTGGGCTTACCATCATCACATGGAGATTTAGAGAAGATCAACATAATTTAAAACACGTGACTTTGTTGATTCTAAATGTGGAGGGGAAAAACCGGAGAACCCGGAAAAAATCCCCGTGACCACGAGGGTGAAAGAGAGAGACCCACGACCTCCTGCATACCAGGCAAGGCAGTTAACATCACATCATGATGTTCTAGGATAGGGTGGGGCAGAAGGGCGGCATAAGGGGAAATGGTCTCACAAGTGGCCTGTGGATGAGAGAAAATGACCCCCCCACTTTGGAAATCTTTCCCATGAACCACGGTGGCGAGATGTTAACTCGGTACTGCTGCTCGTGTGACTGATGCTGCTGCGGCAAGTGCTGAGAGTCCCTCTGCTGAAGATGCTGATGCCGCTTTTGCTGCTCATTTTGTACTATCGTGTCATTTATTGATTTTTCGGTACTGTTGCTCGTGTGACTGATGCCGCTGTTACTGCTGATAGTGCCTCTGCTGAAAATGTTGTATTATAGTATTTTTTAAAAGGTGTATTTATCGGTGCTGCTGCTTCGTGTGACTGATGCTGCTGATACTACTGCTGATAGTGCCTCTGCTGATGCTGCAGATTATTTAATATAATAGTTTTTTAACGTATTTATTTTTTATGTATTTATCGGTGCGGCTGCTGATGCCACCGCAAGTGCCCGACAGTGGCTCTGCTGACAACGCTGACGACGCTGACGACAGGGACGATGGTGACGATGGTGACGATGGTGACACGTGGCTTTCTCACCCTGCATGAGTCCGAGCTGGCGCCACCCACCTCCTCCTCCCTCTCTCCCCCCTCCCCCTGCGTGATCTCGACGACATAGAGGTGAGAGGCGCTGCAGCGCCACACGGCACCGCCAGCACCACTCAGACACCGCAGCGCCAGCAGGCGGAAGAGAAAGGCGCTGAGACCCGAGCACACCTGTTTGGCATCGGGGGGGGGGGGGGGCAGGCAAAGGAGGAACCCCAGATTTCACATTATTATATTATCAGCTTAACACGTGCGTAGTAGTCTTTCGCAACCACACGATCGACAGGAGGCACAAGAACAACGGGCTCACATAACGCGCATGCATAATGAACATTGATTACCAAATGATCCATAGTCATTAACATTCATTCATTAATCTCCCCCCCCCCCACCATTGCTCAAGAAGTTCTCACGAGTGACGTCATCACATCTATGCCCCTATTTAAGGAACGAAACAGGAGGATTTCTTCACAAATCTGTCTGTCCGCCTGATGAAGCTGGTTGCAATTACTGGTGAAACGTCGCACTCAAATTGTAAATGTTGTGGATTTGCTGTCCAGCACACAACCAGTGTGGCTGTACTAGTAACAAATTGGCACGTTCTGTTTATGTGACAAACCTTACTCATTGTCTGTGTCGGGTGGTGGCGGGTTTACTGACATTAACATTTTTACGCGATCTAACCCAAAACACCCGTATGATAGATAATATTGGTCAGGAAAGCCTGCTACGTGTTATACCAATATTATTCACACTAACGTTTTTTAGATTGGTGTTAGATCACGAAAATATCTACAACGTGTAATGACTGAGGCAACAGACCGCTTACCTGACATCAGTGTACGTGCGGACAGTAGGCCTCGGCAAGGTAAGGTAAAAGTTAAAAGGTAAAAACAACGAGCCTACCTTTACCCTACCTTTTACCTTACCTCAATACAATCACTCTACCCTTACCTTTTACCCTTTAGCAGGTAAGGTACAAGGTAAAAGGTAAAAAGCAACGAGCCTACCTTTACCCTACCTTTTACCCTTACCCCATACAAATGACCCGATTACAGGGTAATTACTGGGGTACTACTGCACGTGAACAAGGTTTATAACGGTAAATGCTAGGTAGAGCGCTTTATGCATATGTAATATTGTAAATTACGGCGGGAGACCACTTGACGGGTAGCACACTTTATTAACACTTTCTTTAGCCACAATAACACGTGTGGCCAACTACAGCCTACGCTACGCGTTCCACCCGGCTACACACCCACGGGCTCTCCAGCCCCGTAGCTTCCAGGGGAACTCACAGACCCACCCCGGCTGGGGCATGGGTCACGACCACTGGGTCCCGCAGCCCGGCCCTCACAAGGACGTCCGGCCGCGGGTCCCAAGATCCCGCCTCTGAGCCACACAGGGTCCCGGCCCTTACAAGGGCAGCGGGGCTAGGGGTCTCAGGGCCCTGTCTCTTCCTCCTCCATCTTCTGTCTTCACTGGTTACCAACTCCCCGAGCGCCCGCGCGCATCGCCTTTCATAGTCCTCCGCTCCTGAGGGGGCGGAGCCTATGTGGACCGCGATGTGAGCACCCACTCTAGTTGACCAATCACCACGCGCTGCCACACGATCCCTTACTGCCAGCGCGTATCACCAATACATAGCCAATCACCACGCGCTGCCACACGATCCCTACTGCCAGCGCGTATCACCACTACACATATAGAATACTCTAGATTATTCCAATTTTACAAGCTGTATTTTAACTCACTCTGTCTGTTGTTGTTGTCGTTATTGTTGTTGTTGTATCCTCAAATCTTGAAACTCAATTTTTACCCACTTCCTAATGTGGTATCGACTGCAAACTTGGTATACTTAGGTCATACTGATGACAATACTATATTCTATCATAAAAAATCGATATATTTGTAAACAATCTTTTTTACGTGTTATGTTTCGGCTTGGGTCGAATTGTCCACGCTCAACTGACGTTGGCTGTAAATCACCACGGTCCCTTACGTTGTGGCAAGCTTCGGGGCCACTTCCTGGAGTCGTGGATTTCATCCATTACGAGTAAATTTAATAAAAGCGTGTTTTTTTTATCAAGTTTGTTTTAATATTACTTTTAAATGTAGGCCACGGACTGCGCGACGGAGCTTCTAGCGGTAAACAAGGCACCGTATTTACCGGGTAATACTTTGCGCTATCTTTACCCTACCGGGTAATTCTTCCGAGCTACCTTTACCCTACCCTTTACCTTACCCCTTGGCATGTCGACATCTTTACCCTTTACCTTTACCCTTTTACCCGGTAAAAAGGGTAAATTACCTTACCTTGCCGAGGCCTACGGACAGACAGTCAAGAAGTCAAGCAAGGCCTCCGATTTGTGCTGGGAGGCCTCAAAGATGATTGGTCAGGATAGGAGATTCAAAGGGATTGGAGGGTTGACTGGAAGGGGAGACAATTGACAACCTTTGGAGGAGGAGGAGGAGGAGGAGAGAAGAGGGGGGAGGAGGGGGGGGCGGAGGAAGAGGTAGGAAGAGGAAAGATGAAGGAGGAGGAGGGGGGGGAGAGGAGGAGGATGGAGGAGGAGAGATGGAGGAAGGAGGGAGGGGGAAAGAGAAGGTGAGAGGAGGAGGAGGGGGGGGGGAGGCATGAGGAGGAGGGGTCAGGATTGGCTGATGGAAATGGGGTGGGCGAAGCTTCCAGAAGGGGGGCTCTAGGGATATAAAAGGGGCTAAGCACGAGGGGCTGGGACGCTGGGAGAGTTTTGTGCCTCAAGAGACGAAGTCCGGGCCCGGGGGATAGCCTTGTGCCCGAATAAAGGCTCCGAGTAAACGAAGAAACCGCGTGTGACGGACTTCATTACGCGCATGTCATCAAAACCGCCAGCCACCGCCACGGTACGGCCAATTCGTTAAGGGATTTGTCGCGTCACGACTTGGGCACTAACCGGTGTGTTGTAAATGCCGTGGGTCAGTCCACACACTTTGCTGTGAACGCATTCCCCTGGGCCGAGGCACGGGTACGGCTCCTCCTCAGTGCCCACCCACAGGGTTAGGAGTTTCATATTCGTCCGTGTGGTGATCCACCAACCCTCACTGCTGCTGCTGCTGCCTCCAGTGCTGGATCACTACAGGCAACCACGTGCAGCAGCGTGGCCACCACCACAACGACCACCGCTACCACCACTAACTACCACCCCTACCACCACCTCCACCATCACCACATCACCACTACATCACCACTACCACCACCATCATCACCACCACATCACTACCACCACTGCCATCGCCAACACCACCACCGTCGCCACCACCGTCACCACCACTACCACCACAACCACCACCGCGTGCCTGTGACGTCAGTCGGTACACGTCGCCGACGCGGCGTCTCCGCTCGTGCACCCGCGCCGGGCACGTGCGTGACCTTTGACCCGGACCGCCTTACTGAGCCCGCATGGCTCACACGCGGCTCCTCGGCCCCCCCGGGGGTGCGGGGGGGGTGAGGGGGGTGCGGTGGGGGGGGGTAAGGGGGGTGGGGAAGCCCTTCGATGGGGCGAAGCACGTGACCGGTGAGCCTAGCGGCGGCTGCTCACGGCGGCGGTGACGTCAACGTGGACGAGGTGAGGCCTCTCCTGCCCCGGGGGCTCCTGCAGCTTCAGCAGGGAGGCCACCACGGCCGCCTCGTCCACTCCCTGGCCCATGAGCCGCACGGTGTGCAGCCGGCTCCGGCCGCCAAAGGTCGACCGCAGCACGTCGTGCATGCGCTGCACATGCAGCGACTTGCCTGCAAGCACACACGGCGTCGGCGTCATTATCAGCAGCAGCAGAAGATGCATTGGCGTCATCAGCAACCATGTCATCCACCCACTGACAAGGTTTGCCACCTATCCAGATTTGGTCTGTGGATAAGTTGGCAACCTTGCCATAAACCACCCCCCACCAACTACGCCAAACGCACCCACTCCAGGCCGCGTCGACCAGACGACCCGGGCCCTGAGCCGCTCGGTGAAGGCGTCCGCCGCCACCGACGCTACCCGGCCCCCGCGCTCTGCCTCCACCTGCAGGCAGCGCCACAGGCACCAGCGGAGTTGCTCGGCGGGCACCCGTGGTGCGGCACTCGCCCGGAACTCGCTGAGGCACGACGCGGCATAGCAGTGCTCTTCCCGCGCGTGGCAGAACACCACGAGCTGGTAGCGGCCGGCCGGCCGGCGCTCCACCAGCACCAGCTCCTCCATGCGCACGCTCGCCTCGTAGCTCAGCCGGTCGGCGCACAGCAGCGAGTGGATCTTGACGTCCCCGTCGCCACCGTCGCCGGCGTCGCCGCTCAGCGCCCTCCTCACGAACAGCTCCACCTCCTCGACGGTGGTGTCGGGCGAGCACACCAGCACCTCGTCGGGCGCCGGCAGCGGCTCGTCCTCATCGCTCAGGTAGAGGGACAGCGCCGACGTGAACTCCTCCTCCTCGTCCGCGCACACCACCAGGTTGGGCTGACCCTGCGTCAGCCCATTGGGGAGCCGCCGGCGGACGGCCCGGCGGCCGGGGCTCGCCCGCGCCGCGGCGGACAGGCGTGCCAGCACGCGGGCCACGGCCTCTACGCCAGGGTCGTCATCGGGAGGCACGGCACTGCCCGTGGCCATGAAGCTCCGCCACAGGCGCAGCAGCTGCCGGTCAAGCCACGGGGATTCAGTGACATCGGCTTCCGGATTGTTCGGCCCTGGGACGTCGTCGCCGTCATCGCCGCCGTCGTATCGCTCATCGTCTGTCGTCATTGCCGCCGGCGCTGCTGCTTCGTCCGACACGGCCTGCTGAACGTCCCGGGCGGTGCAGTCCTCCTTGACGAGCGACAGCATGGCGAGGGCGCTGGCGGCGCCGGGGCCCGCGCCGCCCCGTGCAAGCTCGCCCACCTCGGAGCACAGGCACGCCACCTGCTGCGCCGTGTAGAGGTCGAGCTGTGGGTAGCGGCGTCGCAGCGCCTTCACGTGCGCCCGCCACTCAACCAGGCAGCGCTCCGATCCGGCGCACAGCAGCGCGAGCTGCCGGGGGGCTCCTCCGTCCACCGTCAGCGCGCCAGCACCCGGCAGCCCGAATTCGACGGTGATGCGAGACGTCGCCGCACCGGCGCTGGCGACGCGCACCGTCCAGCGGCGGAAGAGCGGGTTGGCGCTGGCGCTCAGGGCCAGGTGAGCGTCGGCGAGCCTCAGGACACTCTCCAGCACCTTGCGGGTTGGGTGGAGGAAATCGGAGCTGTCATGCGAGGATTCCAGGTTCGGTCTTTTGAGGCACAAAGCTCTGGGGCCAAACTGCCACTCAGGCCCTCCTACGAGTCAGAGCCCTTCAGCCAGTCAGTCAGGGCCCTCCAGCCAGTCAGCACCCTCCAGCCAGTCTACGCCTTGTGAGCCACAGCACCCACGCACCCACCCATCCAGCCACACACCTAAACAGCCACTCACGCAACCAGCCAGCCAGCTACCCACGCACCGACCGACCCACACACCACCCATCCATCCAGTCACCCACACTCTCAGCCACCCACACATGCACCCACCCAGCCAGCACCCATTCACCCATACACGCACCTAGGGGAGGCCGGTTAAAATAATCAGCACTGGTGTTGGCCGTGAGCGGGAATCAAACCCTCCTGTCGCAAGGTTCGTAATGCAGCGCCTTAACCGCTAAACCACCCACAAACCCAGGCATCCACCCACGCACCCACCCACCTCGGTGAAGGTCTCCACCTCCTCGCTCCATTCCCGCGTGCCACACGTGAGCATCAGTTTGCTGTGCAGCTCCCGGAGCTCGTGGATCCGGAACGTGTGCAGGTCGCCGTCACCTTCGCCGCCACCGCCAGCCGCCGACGGGTCGGGCAGCGTCAGCAGCAGCACCGTCTCCAGCGAGGGCTGCCGGTCGGCGACCGAGCACGCGGGGGTCACCGAACGTCGCCACCGATCGTCATCGGTCACCGCACTGGTAAGGCCCACAGGGGCTACAGTGACGTCGCTCGGAACGAGCGGTCCAGTCGCCGGGCGGCACCAAATTTGCCGATTGTTAATAATTACGCCGCCAGTTACTCGGCTGGGAGCGCGCATATCGCGATAACAGGCCAGGACTCTCCTGCAGAAAGTTCATTGAGACTCTCGGTAAGGTTCTCCTGGGTGAACAAGCGGAGAGATGATTAACCAATTCATTGAGCTATCACAGACTGTTCAGACAAACAGTTCCTCTACCCGAGCTATAAGTGTTCTGATACGTGCATTGTCTTTGTTACTGTTCACCTTGATGCTACGTGTGGCACATTAGGAATGGACCACTCTTATAATAAGTCCTTATGTGCTGTGCAGTACATTAATGCACGTGTGTACACCAGCATGTGATGACTGAGTTTGGCTTGTGGGGGGCTGGCAGGGTTATTGATTAACCGGACGTGTACACCAGTCACGTGGTTAATGGCGACTCGGTGAAGATTGCTGTGTGTGACACACGTGTTGTTGCATCTTACAGGTAAAGGACCCAAAGGTTGTTTTTGATCGTTATAAAAATGTTCCATACTTGTTCTCGACTTCAAGCTTGACTTTGAATTATTAGTTTGTGATATATTTAATTGGAGGTGTTTTAGCACTGTGCATTGTAAAGGATGACGCACTGTAGTTAATACTTGTAATTCTTAATCTTTAACCCTAATACTGTTTATTCTATAACCATGCCCATGCACCCAGAGTATGACTACTTGCAATTATATTGAGAATAGAACACATGTAAAGTAGTAAGCTGTACAATGGTGACAAATACAGTACGTATACTGTACACATACAGTTCAGATAATGAGTGTAAGATACCGATATAAGTGAATGGTATATAGTTAGACATACAGCTTAGGATGAAAATAATATTCGAATAGTGAAGTGTAAATGTTATTGTCAAAGACAAAGATGGAATTATCAGTAGTATAATTGGGTTTAAGAGAAAACTGTTATTGATTAACGCCACGTGTACCGTATTTTCCCGCATATAACCCGCCGGGTATACCACTTTTTACAAACAAAACAAGACCCTGCGGCATACATGGAGGTGCGGGCTATCCAAAAAATATTTTACACGTGTGACATGTCATAACTCGTTGAAATTTTTCATGGTAGGACTATCCACTATGCAACACTTACCTTTGAGGAAAGCACTGATGAATAAACTACTCACACTAAAATTGCACATGCTATCACGTTTTAAATTAGTCGAATTGTTCGTACAATGAAACGACAATGTTTGAAGTGGGCGCACTTTGCTTACTGTAATACTTTCAGTGGCTGTAGGGGGGTGCGAAAGTTTCAGCTGAGGCTATGGATTGCACAATGGGAAGGGCCTTAACAAGCGTCTACCAGACGCGGAATCATAATTGCTGAGTCCCTTAGGCCACTGCTATTGGCTGCGCACTATACAGTCGCGACCATGAGCTTTGTTTCAAACTTCCAATGGCTTTTCTGCCAGGAGGCAATGGCGTTACCGTAGTGCCGCTATTGTCTGCGCAGTGCGCAATCTACCAGTGCTAAAACTGTACAGGGGCAACTACCGGTCCAGTAGCTGTAATATGATGAGGTGCAATGCTGGCAAGCCTAACAGTATGCTTACTTACTTATCCACCAGTTATGTGTTACTTATTTATTGGATATTTACTTTTGTTACTTATTTACTGTTTTAAGTTCACTCGTTTCCGGTTAGTTTGTTTTCTTTGTGCACGTTATGATTTTAATGTTAACAATTGATAGTGGAATGTATTGCAAATGTAAACTTTGTATTAATATGATGGAATTACGCTGCGGTAACGACGTTAAAGATATCAATGCATGCGGGGTATATGGAGGTGCGGGCTATCTGAAATTTGTTTGACACAAAACGCTATTTTTGCGAGGTATATGCGTCTGTGGGTTATATGCGTATGCGGGCTATATGCGGGAAAATACGGTACACCAGTCACGTGGTTAATGGCGACTCGGTGTGTGACACGTGTGCTGTTGCATTTTACAGATTAACCACAATAAATGTGTTTGCCCTCGATTTGGAGCACCTGCCCACGTCCTTCATTTCGAGTGTGCAACATACGCATCTCTGCACGTCTCTCTCTGCGCGTCTCTCTCTCTCTCTGCGTGTCTCTCTGCGTGTCTCTCGTGGGGTCAATGCTCAAATACCTCTTAAAAGGTTTCTATTTGGTGTTTGAACATCTCAACTCCTGTTTGATTGCCAGAAAAGTAAACCTATTCTTATTTTTTCATACTTTGATACTGGCAAAAAGGTCCCATGATATAGCTGCTCACCTCGAGCTATAAATGCTCTGATAGTGCATTGTCCTTGTACCGTTCGCCTTTTGGCGGTCTCTGGTCTGACACTGGTGAGTCTAGACTCTAAAGAAGGCTGTCTCTGGTGTAGACCAATCAATTCCAAAGACAATGCTATATATCACCATATTATGTTTGGTTTGCACGTTTTGCCACAAATACTCTGTGTAGTTAATGCAGTGCTTGACGCCTTGGAAAAGGTGGTGATTGAAAATCTGAACACGCCACCTGTTTTATAGCCAGAAAGGGTACAAACCTGTTCTTATTTTTCATCATTTAGAGAACGGCCCGTTGGCAAGGGCGTCCTCAAGTCTTACGACTCGCGCACAGAAAACACAAAGATCCCCCGAATAGCTCTAACAGACTTTGTGGCAAGTGCCGTGAGCGAGCAGGCCGGCACTGCGGCACACGAGGGGGTGAGTGGCCAACACCAAGTCCGCCCGCCTTTGTCTCCCCCCGACCACTGCTGTCGTTGTTGTTCGCTGGGTCTATATGTCTCTGTGTGAGGCTGCGGTTCTCTGTGTGAGTCTACGGGTCTCTGTGTGAGTTTGTGGGTCTCTGTGTGAATCTACAGGTTTTTGTGCGAATCAACGGGTCTCTGTGCGAGCCTACGGGTCTCTGTCTGAGTCTACGGGTCTCTGGGCGAGACTACGAATCTGTTTTAGTCTACGGGTCTCTGTGTGAGGCTATGGGTCTCTATGCGAGTCGTCGCTGATCCAACTGTGACCATGACCTCGAGCCGCTCACCTTGTCGCCGCTGCCCGCGATGGCGCCCACGTGGTAGACACCGCTGTGGTTGATGGCGGTGGCCGTGGACAGAGTGGACATTTCCACGGAGCCGTGCCACACCGCCTGTAACCACGGCAGGTGCTGCACGGAGCATCTCTGCATGCGACGGGACGGGGCAGAGGAAATCGACGTCGTCATCGTTGGCCACGGTCGATCCACTGCTGGATGAGGGACTTGCCAAGATGTCGCAGCCTCTCACGCGATCCCACGGGTTGTTTTATTTTTCATTATTTTGATTATATACATAATAGAGAGAGAGGCAGGACGATTCAGAGAGAGAGAGGACGACTCAGAGAGAGAGGACGACTCAGAGAGAGAGAGAGAGGACGACTCAGAGAGAGAGGACGACCCAGAGAGAGAGAGGGGACGATTCACGAGGCGCCAGGAGGATGAACCACAGACAAGTAGGGAAGGCAGCAGCAGCCACGCAGTGGTGAGGAGCCGGTGATACCCACCATCGCCCAAGCTCTGCGGTCCTCTAGACATTACGGTGATATCAGCCAATTAACAAGCTTAACGTCGTGTGAGGGGAAACCGAAGCACCTGGAGAAAACCAGCAGGTGGTAGAGGAGCAACACTCGATCCCCGCACAGACGGGGACAGGTTGACGTCCGCTTTAATCTTCCGTCTTCTCCTGGCGCAGCCAGGGTACGGGCTCCTCCCATCCGTGTGTGATCCACCAACCCTCGCTGCTGCTACCGCGCTGGATCACCACAGGCAGTCACGTGCAGCAGCGTGGCTACCACCAGGGCCGTCCGTAGTGGGGGGTGGGGTGACACCACGGGACCCCGGGCAGTCGCCCTAGATTCCCCGTTACCCCTCTGGCCGCCACCGCTGCCGCCGGCCGGCTACCGACGTGACGAGACGGAGTGATGATCCTTTACGGATCTCACGCCGCTGAGCAGCGTGACTCTCCGTGAGGGGGTGCCAGGGGGTGCCGGGCGGGGGTAGAGGGCCGCCGTACCAGCTTGAGGGTGAGGTTGGCGTCGCTGTCCAGGGAGCGCCACACGCTGCGGGCGGCGTCGGCGAGCTCCGGGAAGCCGGCGCTGGCTCGCAGGTCGTAGAGCAGCGGCGAGTAGCCCTGCACCGCGTCGTGGAAGAAAGCCACGCGGTCCACCTCGAGGTCGCTCTCGCCGGCCGTGATTGACGCCAGGTCCACGAACACCTTCAGCTCGGTCAGATCTGCACAAAGGGGCCATCCATAAATGACGTCACGCGATTTTGGACGATTTTGACCCCCCCCCTTGTGTCACACGGCGTCACAAAAGGTCAGACCCCCCCTCTCAAATATGACGTCACAAAGCTCTGCTTCAAATCGCTTTAAACTATTGTCATTGTAGTGCATATTTAATGTGGCGCTGCACTATGATGTTGTAGGAGAAAATATTTATTAAAAAGTCTATTTAATTAAGTAGAACGTGTTGTCTATATTTATTTAAAGTTGCACATTTTTTATGTGACATCACATTTCTCAACCCCCCCACCCCCTCTTCACACATCGTCACAAGGTGCGCGACGTCATTTATGGACGGCCCCAAAGACAAAGGTTCCCCCTCCCCCCGTAGTAGCCTTAACTGGCTGTCGGGGCAAGTGCTGTTAGCGGGTGCCTACGATGGCCAGCACGGTGACGCGAGGGGGGTGGGTGGCGAGCACCACGTCCCGGTCGCCTTTGTCTCCCCAAGCGGCGACGTTTACACACCTCTGCCGGGTTACTCACTCGAGGCCGAGACGACCTCAGAGAGGCCCAGGGCCCGGTTCGAATGGTCATCACTCGCGTTGGCTGATGGATGACATTGGTCGCGAAAGCCTACTTGCGTGTTAAACCAAAATCAAATCAGGTGAGATCCATCGCCAATTTACACCACCGAACAATGGGCCTACAAACCTCTTCACAAGACCAGCCAACGCCAACAGCGCAGAGGGAGCGAGGGAGGGTCTGGCTGCAACGAAGAAAGGCTGCCAGCAGATGATAATGATGATGATGATGGTATCATCATCATTATCATCTGCCGTGGCCGACGGGAGCCCCGGGAAGGAAGGAGGTCAAAAACGTGGGCGAGAATCGCCGACGCCGCCACGGCCTACGAGTGTGCAAGGCGAGTAAATATAAATGTTGTGTCGTTAAACCCGCCAGCACCCGACACAGCCGACTAGCGAGGTTTCGTCACGTTAACGGGACGTGCCTATTCGTTACGAATACAGCCACACACCGGTTCTGTGTTGGAGAGCAAATCCACAACATTTACAATCTGAGTACGACGTTTGCTGCCTGTTGATGCTAGTTGTAATTACATGCAAAATATTGTATTTAAGATTTCTAAATGTTGTGGATTTGCTCTCCAACACACCGGTGTGCTGTACTAGTGAAGTATGGGAATTGACGGCAGGAACTTCTTGACGGGAACACACTTTTTATTAAATCTTTACGTGTCAAAATACAACGTGTAGTCTCCTTTCTTCCGACTTCACACTCCACTACTCTCGTGTAAACTCTAGGCCTCTGGCTACACACGATACCCTTCACTCGTGTAGACCCTATGCCTCTGGCTACACAATACACTCGACTCGTGTAGACCCTATGTCCCTGGCTACACACACTGCATTCGACTCGTGTAGACCTTATGCCTCTGGCTACACACACTACACTCGCCTCTGGGTTACACAGAGTCCCGGTCCCGTTAGGACAGCGGGACTAGGTACCGCAGGGCCCTAGGTCTTCATCCCCGTCTTCATTCTTCGCTGGTTACATACTGCCCTCACGCCTGTGTGCATCCCTTTTATAGCCCCTGCTCACGAGAGACGGAGCTGATGCGTACGTCAACGTGAGCCTCGCTCCTTAAAGAACCAATCACGACGCACTCTCTCTACGATCCGTTTTCCCCAGCGCGTGTTAACACTCCTCCACCAATCACACCGCGCTGCCACCCGATCACTCCCTTTCAGCACGTCACCGGCCCACAGCCAATCAGTACCCCGTAACCCACTACCCCGCGCTGACCCCTGATCCTCCACCGTCAGTGCGCGTCACCACCTACACAGCCAATCATTACGCGCTGGCATACGATCTCTAATCCCAGCGCGTATCACCTCTACATCACCCCCTCCCACATAGCTTGCAGCCGGCCCGGCTGTTAACCAACAACACAACCTAACGTCAACGCATTAATAAAGAACTCCACCTCCCAGTGTGCCCCGTAACGCAACAACAACAACACAACACAACACTTAAATATGAAGCAATATACAGCCCGACGAACAACACAATAGAAGCGAACACCGAAAAACGAACGCGCCAAGTGTCTCCGTGACTAAACGCAGTGCCGAGGCGCTCCGGCTGCCTCGACTCCTCACGTGGCAGGTCACACAAAGTAGCGCGACCTAGCGCGAGTCCGTCTGGCCGGTCCGTCGTATGGGACGGGACGTTGGCGACCGTCCGGTGGCTCCGGCCGCTCAAGATCCGGCCGCCGGTGGTCGGCAGCTGTCAGTTCCGAGACACCTGGGAGCGGATCAGGCGGAGACATGTGAGGAGCAGGCAAAGACAATTCCCCCTCAGGGTCGCTGGTCACGTCACATGCTCGGCCCTCATGACACAAGGGGAGGCCATACGGAGGCGAGAACGGTTTCAGTCGGGAGGGGTGGACATACCAACGGCGTTTTCCCCATTTTATCTGAACGCACTGGGGGCGTGCAACCCGCACGACCTCCATGGGTCCCCGCCACGGCTTCAACAATTTAGGCGACGTAGCCAAAGGTGCCTGAGGGCAATGCAGCCAGGCCCTGTCACCTGGTTCCCAATTGTGCACGGACACCTTCCGTGCCCGCAACCGCTCGTTTGCAATTTGGCGAGCCCGCGAATTAAGCCGTGCGGCCTCCCTTGCCTCTGTCAGCTTATGAATATTAAATTTAATATGCTCTGCCAATTTCGAATTAGCTCGTGGTGCGGGCAGACCCAGCTGCGTTTCCATGGGCGGGTCGGCTTCCCGACCGTACATCAGATAAAACGGGGAAAATCCCGTAGCTGCATGGGGGGCCATTCTATACGCGGCGAGGACCCCAGGGACCGGCAGGTCCCAATCAACATGTGCCTCACACACCTGCTGGCACAACATAGAAGTCAATGTCCTGTTAAGCCTCTCTACCATCCCGTCCGTCTGCGGGTGGTACGGGGAGGTACGCACCTTCTTGGTACCCAACAGGTCGCACACCTCTTGCAGTAATTTACTCGAAAAATTTTTCCCTTGGTCAGTCAGCAAGCGTTCGGGAGCCCCCTTGTCCAGGACGTAGCCCTGGACAAAGGCGTCCGTCACCGCCGCCGCCGACTGGTTGGCGAGTGGCCACGCCATAGGCCACCGGGTAAAATATTCGACCCCCACCAACAGGTACTTATTACCCCTAGGCGTGACCGGAAAGGGCCCCAGAATATCGAGTGCAACGAGCTCGTTAGTGCGCGAGACCTGGATGGATTGCAGCGGTGGATTAGCTGCCACAGGCGGTGGTTTCCGTCTGGCGCACTCAACACAACCCTTCAGAATATTCACCACGTCACCCCCCATTCCCGGCCAATAATAGTCACGCTGAAGCAGGGCAAGCGTTTTGTTAACTCCCAAATGCAAGAGGCGTTCGTGTGCGGCCAAGACAACCTTCCCCCTCACAGCAGCAGGCACCACAATCGCATGCCGCCGGGACAAACTGTCCCATCTCATCAATAGGCCTTGCTTAAGCTCGTAGGAGCCAGTTCGGTCGTGGTTACCTTCGGAACCCCCCGTCTTGCGGCGCAATGCCAGCAGGGAGCTGTCCGCCATTTGGAGACGGCCCCACTCAATCAATGACAGTGAGAGCAGCGAGTCCTGACCCCCAGGGGTAGCGGGATCATCCCCAATTGGTGTGCTCGCGGCCGCAACCAACGCCTCCCTACCTTCCGTAACCGGCGGTTTACAGCGCGCCGATCCCGATAAGCACACACATTTGTGACAAGGCAACAACCGCGACAGGGCATCGGCATTTGTGTGTCGCAACCCTTTACGGTACGTAGTCGTGAACTGATAGTCCTGGAGGACTTCCAACCACCGCGACAATTGGCCCGAGGGCTGGGCGACCCGCAATGAATACTGGAGCGCCGCGTGGTCCGTCCGGACCGTGAAATGACGACCATAGAGATATGGCCTGAATTGTTGTACAAAAAAAACAATGGCAAGCAGTTCGCGACGGGTGATGCAGTAGCGCTGCTCTGCCGGCGACAACACCCTGCTACCATAGGCGACCACTCGTTCGACCCCTCCAACGACTTGGGACAGCACTCCCCCAATGCCCGTGTTGCTAGCGTCCGTGTCTAGCAAGAAGGGACTCGCGAAGTCCGGATAGCGCAAGGGTGGGGCCCTAACCAAGGCGTCCCGGAGGGAGCAGAATGCAGCCTCCTCCTCCGGTCCCCATCGGAACTTCACTCCTTTCGCCGTTAGAGCGTGCAAGGGTTTTGCAATGGTGGCGAAGTGCTCAACGAATCGGCGATAATACGAAGCAAAACCGATGAAACTGCGTACGTCTGACACTGACGTGGGCGTCGGCCACGAACTGACACAGTCCGTCTTCGCAGGATCGGTAGAAATCCCCGAAGAGTCGACAATGTGACCCAAGTACCTCACGGATTTACGAAAAAGGTGGCATTTGGCCGGTTTAAACATTAATTTAGCCGATCGCATTTGCAAGAACACCCCCCTCAATCGCTGGAGGTGTTCTTCAAACGTTTTACCGAAAACAATGACATCGTCAAGGTAAATGAGGCACGTATCCCACTGCAAGCCCGACAAAACCAATTCCATAAGACGCTGAAACGTCGCCGGAGAGGAGTGAAGTCCCATGGGTAACCGGTTAAACTGAAACAGGCCCCCTGGAGTCCGAAATGCAGTCTTAGGCTTAGACTCTTCGTCGAGTGGCAACTGCCAGAATCCGGATAATAAATCAAGAGTCGAAAAGTATCGCGCACCAGACAATGCGTCGAGAGACTCCTCCATCCTGGGGAGCGGATACGCGTCGGCCACAGAGATCTTATTCAGGCGACGGAAATCGACGCAAAATCGCAGGGACCCGTCCTGCTTTTTAACGAGCACGATAGGTGCTCCCCAAGGACTGGAGGAAGGCGAAATAATGTCGGCTTCTAGCATATCGTTAACTGCCGACTGAACATGTTCCTTCTCAGCAGGACTCAGTCGGAAGGGATTTTGCCTGACCGGTGCCGCATCGCCCGTTTCAATGTGGTGGCGTAGCAGGTCCGTGCACCCAATGTCATACTTATGTTTACTGAAGACATCCGAAAATTCAATGAGCAACCCGCGCAGCGCACCCAACTGTACCGCTGACAAATCGTCAGAGTCCGCGCACAGCGAATCAACCCAATCGAGGTCCTCCTTCAATGTAACGTTTTTCGTGGGACTCGGATCCGCCTGCGCAACCAGCCTCTCCTCCGCAGGGACCCGCGCCGCGTGAGCTAGCATGGTGCCCTGCTGAATGACGGCCGGCCGCGCCCCAGCGTTTAAAACCATCACAAACGGATCCCTGTCAGCCCCCACCAAAGTGTGAGCCACCGACAAATCGAGACCTCCAACAGCCCTATTAGAAGGACCCAAAAGCATGCCCTGTTCCGAGGCCTCCTTCACCCATGGCTTCCGCAACCGGAGGGGAATTAACATTTGTGAACCCGGGGGCACGTGCACGGTCTGTGTCGCTAACGCCTGTATGGTAGCGCACGCCGTCCGAATTTCATTAGGGCTCGTCAAAAATGAAATACGGCGACCCGATGGTAGTTCAATGCAACGCTGATCAATGAGAATTTTGATGGGCATTTTTGCCAAAAAATCAGTGCCCAATAGACAAGGGACCGCCAGGGAGGACGAAACAAAAACGGGTCCCGACAATTTGATATCACCAATGCAAATGGACGCCCTAATCTGACCGATAATGCCCAACGATCCCCCGTTAGCGGCGTAAAATGGCACATCCACCGGAAGAAGCGGACGACATTGTACAGGGAGAATATTATAAATGAGATCCGATATAATAGTCGCCAATGCCCCCGTGTCCACTAACACCCTGACCTCGACCCCATCAATAGATCCGGTAACGACGGATGAACCCGCTGAGGCAGCCACTATTCTGTGCCCCAACTCCGACCATTTAATGTCTCCCCGGTCCCGGCCGAATCGCCCTCTCTGAACCGAATCCCCGAACTCTACTCGGCTCTCCCCCGCCGCAACGCGACGACCCATATGTGCCGAGTATGCGGGCCGAGCATGTGAGGTGCCGCGACTTGCCGGGGTTTGCAGGGACGACTTGGGGCCTTGGTCGTCGTCCAGCCGAGGTCCCATGGCGCGCTGACGTGGGGCGCGGCAACCGGAGGCCACGTGGCCCCGGAGGCCGCAGTTATAGCAGGTGATGACAGTCGTCGGAGATCTCGGTTGCTCCAGCTTGCGGGCCGCTCGCAGAGGCGAACGACCCCCCGATCTCCAGTCCCCCGGTCGTCCCGCGATGAACGCCTCCTCTCGTGGGCTGACGACTTGGGGCACGGTGACAACTGGGCCCGGAGTTGAGGCCACGGCAGCGTTGCAGACGACTCCCTGTTTACGTTGAAGGACCTCGTGCGCTTGTATGCTTGTGGCGACCCGTAAGGATGAAATATCGGTCTCATCGGCCGTGTTGATGGGGACCCCCAGGTCCTGCGCCAACTTGAGTAGCTGCTCCAAAACCATGGCATCTTGGCCCTCCTCGTCCATACGAGGGAACGCGGCGTCGGCGAGAGCAAGCAACGCCGTGCGATAGGCGAGCACGGTCTCCGTGTCCGCCTTCCGTCTTGCATAAAAATGATGGCGGCACGCCGAGGGAGGACCATAGACCTTGGCCATGAGAGCCAGCGCATCCTTGAGCGTGGAGCGGTCCGACCTGCGTGCGGACGTGAAGGCCGCGAGCGCGTTGTCATCCAGCATGGCAGGCAGTGCCCGCAGTGCTGTAGCGTCGGACCAGGCGGACATCTCCTGATGCGCCAAAAATCTGCGCTGAAACTGGCTCCAATCCCCGCCTTCCGCCTTGAAGGCTGACAAAGTGGGAAGGCGCTGCTGAAAGATGAAGTCGTCCTCCTCCTCGTGCTTCCTCTCTGCCGCCCCGTCGGTGTGTAAGATGGCGGCCCCATCGGCGGGTGTGTGATGGCGGTCCGCCGCGCGCGTTGGTGACGTCAGCGGGCGCGCATGGAGAACCGCTGCCACGTGGTGATGGCCGTTCACGCCAAAAGTCGGTGCAGATGAAATGGCGGCCATCGCCAAATCGTTTTGGCGGGAATCTGCAGGGCGACCCTGCAGAACGTCGGCCGCCGTTCCCGCTCCTCCCGACGAGCTGATCTCCGCCAGGCTGGACGCGGCGGCGAGCAGCAGCTCCGCCAGACGGGAGTGCGCTTCGCGAAGCACGGCGTCAGTCCCCCGTCGCTCGTCCGGCGCCGTCGGCGGATCCTGTCCCGTGGGCAACTCCTCTTCCTCACCCCCCGATGCCAGCTGGCCCGCGTCGTCGAGGTTGTCCCCGTGGTCAATCCCGTGGGTCCGACGGTTCCTCCTTGTATCCATGCTTGGAAGACCGTTTCACTTCTGACGCCAGTTGAAGTATGGGAATTGACGGCAGGAACTTCTTGACGGGAACACACTTTTTATTAAATCTTTACGTGTCAAAATACAACGTGTAGTCTCCTTTCTTCCGACTTCACACTCCACTACTCTCGTGTAAACTCTAGGCCTCTGGCTACACACGATACCCTTCACTCGTGTAGACCCTATGCCTCTGGCTACACAATACACTCGACTCGTGTAGACCCTATGTCCCTGGCTACACACACTGCATTCGGCTCGTGTAGACCTTATGTCTCTGGCTACACACACTACACTCGCCTCTGGGTTACACAGAGTCCCGGTCCCGTTAGGACAGCGGGACTAGGTACCGCAGGGCCCTAGGTCTTCATCCCCGTCTTCATTCTTCGCTGGTTACATACTGCCCTCACGCCTGTGTGCATCCCCTTTTATAGCCCCTGCTCACGAGAGACGGAGCTGATGCGTAGGTCAACGTGAGCCTCGCTCCTTAAAGAACCAATCACGACGCACTCTCTCTACGATCCGTTTTCCCCAGCGCGTGTTAACACTCCTCCACCAATCACACCGCGCTGCCACCCGATCACTCCCTTTCAGCACGTCACCGGCCCACAGCCAATCAGTACCCCGTAACCCACGACCCCGCGCTGACCCCTGATCCTCCACCGTCAGCGCGCGTCACCACCTACACAGCCAATCATTACGCGCTGGCATACGATCTCTAATCCCAGCGCGTATCACCTCTACACTAGTAACGAATTGGCCACGTTCTGTTTACGTGACAAACCTTACTGATTTGCTGCATCGGGCGGTGGCTGGTTTAACGACACATTGATATTTACGCGATATAACCCAAAAAACCTGTATTATGGATATTGGTTGCGAAAGCCTACTGCGTGTTAAATTGAGAAAATGAATGTCAATACCGGTCCTTGCCCAGAGACATCTTGCAGTTCAACCAGCTACCTACTGCTCTTCACCGAATAGACATCTGTGAATAAGAGCTTCAGAGCTCATCGGATTCATCCAGTATACATATTCTGATTCATTGGTTCAAGTGGAAGACTCTGAACCTGCGGACGAGACACTGAAAGTGGAAACCGGCCCTTGACTAAGAAAAAAAAACAACATCTGGCAGTTTGCCAGCGTTGGTGCAGCAGTGAGTGTACTGTACTTCTGTGCTCCCACTGACTACGTGAGGTTTGGGGCCTTGTGGATAAACCCACTTTTCAAGGTGCCCTTGATCCAGACCAGCAGCTGCTCGGACTGTGACAGTTGCTCCAGGCACTCCAGCCTGGCAGGCGTGACCTCCATCAGGGTGTCCATGGCCGAGACCAGCTTGGAGTTGATGTGATTGATCTTCTTGCTGTGAAATTCCTCGTCCTGACGACAAAAGACGAAGCAGGCACCGTTTAGATGCCGATTGTAAACGATTGTAAAAAAAAAAGGAAAAAACGTGCATCCCTGTGACTGAGCGATCAGACCACCGCTGCCACAGGAGGACCCCCACGAGGGAGAGAGAGAGGGGGGGAGCAGACAGGCGAGAGATTGAGCCCCCCCTCTAGCAGGTATTCAGGCCTACTCTTTCCGGCTGGCCAGAACACTTGGAAGAGATGGAGTTACCCACACTTTTTCCGACCGGGGCGCGGGGAGGACTGACTCGAGAGCCGGGAGATAAACTAAACTTTTTAATTTACGAGGAAAGGCCCCAATAAGCTGTATAACTCTTTTTTCAGAAGCGACCGATCAAAAATGGTGTCAACGAAGTGGCTTATCATCATCATCATCATCATCACGTGGAAATGAATAGCGGCAGGCCAAATATTATAAACGTGTGACGTTGATTCTAAATGTGGAGGGAAACACGGGAGGACCCAAAGAAAATTTTCACACAACCACGGGGAGAGAGACACCGCAAACTCCAAATATACAGCAGGCGTCAGGGTAGGGATTGAACCCACGGCCTCCTGCATAGCAGGCGAGGTAGTTAACATCTCCTAGCTGTTGACACTGTGGCTTCCTGCCCAAGATGAGCATTGAGGCATTTGTGCTCATCTCCCGGCGGTGGAAATTCCACTTATTTTAATCGACCTCCCCCCAACCCCAGAGAGATGATGGGGTGCCTCAACCCTCGGCCAGGATTTGACATCGTGACCTCCCGACTGAGGCTTGGGCCTTCATTGGATCCGGAGCTGCCAAGGGCTGGGCTCACCCCCCCCCCCCTTCATAACAAAGACAAAGATCCCCCATATAGCCTTAACAAACTGTTGGAGGCAAGTGCAGTGACTGAGAGTACATCGCCACAGTGGCTAGGAGATCCCCACCCTGATGCGTGCTGCTGTATATTTGGAGTTCACGGTGTCTCTCTATCATTATCATCGCAGTGGTGAGATGTTACCTGCCTCGCCTGGTATACGTGGGGTCGTGGTTTCGATCCCGACCCTGCCGCTGCAGCCCGATGTATATTTGGAGTCTGCGTGTCTCTCTCTCCGTGATCGCGTGATTTTTTCCCCCCCACATTGAGAATCAACATCACGCATTTAGAATATCCGGCTGCTGCTATACATTTGAACGTGATAAGCCACTTACCTGACATATAATTTGTTATAGTCAGGTCGCTTCTGAAAGAGCTACACAGCTCAGTGGGCCTTATCTGATCAAATAAAAACAAATAGCAACAGTAGTAGTACTAGAGTAGCACCTATGAAGGACTGCACGGCGAATGAGTGGGTGGGTGCCCAGCACCACGCGTACCCCAAGTGGCGATGTTTGCACACTGCACTCGGTACTCTTGTGAGCCCATGTAGACAAAGGGCAATGCCCCAGGACCGGTTCAAATAAATCCCCCACCAGTGTTTACCGTGAGCTCAAGCAGGGCGCCGAAGTCTCCGGTCAGTCCCAGAACGTCCCTCACCGCCAGCACGGCCCTCACCACGCCCACCTTTGGCCACATCTCCTGGTACCGCGTGATCTGCCAGGCCCTCTGGGCGATCCACTCGGCATCCGGCGAGCCTCCCAGGCCGGCGGCCAACGCCGCCAGCTCGGGCCCCACATCAGCGGGGCGACCTTCGAGCACGGCGAAGAGGCGGCGGACGTCGTGGAGGTGAGCAGCACCATCGCGCAGCTCGACGAGCAGCGACCCGGCGGCGCGCAGCGACGGCCGCCACACCTCGAGCCACACGCAGTCGAGAGACGCGAGCGTCGGCGCACTGGCCGCCGCCAGCATCGCCACTGCCTTGTACGCCGGCCACCGGGTGCTGCGCCGGCGGGCGGCCTCCGCCGCCGCCAGGTGGAGAGCCCCGCGGTAGGCAGCCAGCGCCGCCTCCTTCCACAGCTGGTGGAAGGCCGCGCTGCGCGAGAGGAGTGAGCAGCCGCGGGCGAACTGGCACAGCTCAGAGCTCATGCGGAAGTGGGTGACCACGATGGCACCGCCGGAGTCGCTGCCCCTCCACCAGGCCGGGCCGCGCTTGGCAAGCACCAGGTCGCAGAGGGGGCACGGCACGAGGCTGCGCCTGCACCGACTCTCCAGCACTGACACGTCCACTAGGGCGTGGGGTGGAGGCGGGGGGGGGGGGGGGGGTAGACAACGACGCTCCTCCTCTTTTCAACGACGTGACGGTAAGTCTCTGGAAACCTCCTCCTCCCACCGTCCTCGTCCAGACTCTTTCCTGCCTCCAGCTCTTAGGGCACTAAAAACCTCGCTCAGTCCGAGGAGCACGCGGCACTCGTGGCTCGCACGATGCCCAAAACGCTCGGCATTTTGGGTCTCTGCTCAGCAGCAGGGATTTTTTTTAGGAAGCTCACCGCCTCCTTCACCTGAACCTCCGATGCGCATGACCCAAGACTGCATTCGAGACCCCAGTTTAATCACAACCGGTCTGTGTGAGTCTGCGGGGCTCCGTGTGAGTCAGTGGTTCTCCGTGTGAGTTAGTTGGTCTCCGTGTGAGTTAGTGGGTCTCCATGTGAGTCAGTGGGTCTCCGTGTGAGTCAGTGGTTCTCCGTGTGAGTCAGTGGGTCTCCGTGTGAGTCAGTGGGTCTCCGTGTGAGTTAGTGGGTCTCCATGTGAGTTAGTTGGTCTCCGTGTGAGTTAGTGGGTCTCCATGTGAGTCAGTGGGTCTCCGTGAGAGTCAGTGGGTCTCCGTGTGAGTCAGTGGGTCTCCGTGTGAGTCAGTGGGTCTCCGTGTGAGTCAGTGGGTCTCCGTGTGAGTCAGTCGGTCTTCGTGTGAGTCAGTGGGTCTCCGTGTGAGCCAGTGGGTCTCCGTGTGAGTCAGTGGGTCTCCGTGTGAGTCTGTGGGTCTCTATGTGGGTCTACAGATCTATATGTGAGTCTATTTGTCTCTATACGAGCCTACGGCCCTCACTATGCGAGTCTATGGCTCTCTCTATGCAACTCTACGGCTCTTTCTATGTGAGTCTACGGGACTCTAGGCGAGCAACCAGCACTTTCGATGTAACTCTGCGGCTCTCTCTTTGTAACTCTATGGCTCTCTATGTAACTCTATGGCTCTCTCTATGTAACTCTATGGCTCTCTCTATGTGAGCCTACGGATTTCTCTATGTAACTGTAGTGATATCCCGGATGTCACTGCATTGCCGGCCCTAGAGAGGCACGGCGTGCGATGTAGCGACATCGCGGGCACCACTCACATGTGGGTGCAGTACCGGCCCTAGAGGGGCTCGGTGAGCGCCGACTGACATAACTGAATTGCACCACGCTCTGCGTGCAGTGCCGGCCCCTACAGGATAGGGTGTGAGAGTGCCAGACACAGGAATGGGGTTATTATAGGCCGTGGCACTCTGGTTGACCCCAGAGGACACGTGACGAGTTAAGTCTACACAGGGGCCCCAGGTGAGGGCTAGGGGTGGTCACATCTCAGGGTCGAGATCCTGCTCGAGGATTCTAGAAGGTGGTTGTGGCTAAGGGTGGAGCCAGCCACGCCACAGAGGATATAAGCCGGGTCCCTGAGAGGGACCGGCTGCTGTTGTTCATCCTGAAGAAGTCTACATTCTATGTTCTACATCCTACAGAGTCTCCAACACGTGGATCTGGACCCAAGCTGTGGTCCGGTCAATTGTAGCTAGTAACTGTGTAATTAGTGAAGTTAGCCTGGTGGTCACCACCCTAGGTTGTTATTGTGTAAAGGGGCAGTTACCCCGTGTGTTGGTATTAATAAATGTGTTGCCTCCAAAGAATACGTCTGCGACTCAGTTGAACTCACTACATAACTCTCTGGCTCTCTATGTAACTCTATGGCTCTGTCTGAAGCCATTGACTCGGTGCACTCCGACGTTCCCCGGTGTTACCACGGCCGGAAGTCTCCGACCTCTGACCTTACGTGGCCACGATCTAACCCAGAGGGTTCCTCACCTTGGACGATGTCCTCAATCGCGTGGCACATGCGCACCAGAGCCTTGACATTCCGGACCTCCTCGTGCACCGCTGTCACCTCCTCCTGTCTCCGCGCCAGCACGAGTTCCATCTCTCGCCTGTCTGGACCTGCAGCGTCACCTTGTTTAGCCACGGGGTGGTGGTGGCGGTGGGGGTGGAGGGTTGTGGCGGTGGTGGTGGTGGCGGTGGTGGTGGAGTTGGTGGTGGAGATGGAGGTGGCGGTGGAGGTGGTGGTGGTGGGCACGCTGCTGCACATGGCTGCCTGTAGTGATCTAGAACTGTGAAGGCAGTAGCAGCGAGGGTTGGTGGAGCACACACGGATGGAGTGAAACTCCCTTTCCTAACCCTGTGGGTGGGTGCCGAAGAGAAGCCGTACCCTGGGTTTGCTAGGAGAAGGCGGCACATCAAATTGCGGACTAATCTCCATCTGGCACCACGGTAGCGAGATGTTAACTACCTTGCCTGGTATACAGGAGGCCCTGGGTTCAATCCCAACCCCGACGATGCCTTTATATTTTGCGGATTTTTCCTCCGGGTCCTCCGGTTTTTTCCCTCCACATTTAGAGACGTGCGTTGAGAGTGCTTGGCTGCTGAAAAATTCCCACGTGATGAACCACTCCGTTGAGCTATCATTCGTGACGGCCAGGTCCCGTCTGATACAGAGCTACGGAGCTCAATCAAATAAATGTAGTCTGCACACGGAGGATAGAGTGTTGCCCCTCACACGTGCGCGATTTCTGCGGGCACTCCAGTTTTCGCCCCACTTGTGAGCACTCATGAATTGGCCAGATTACGCCTTTAAATGCAGACGACCGCAGAGCTTGGGCAATTGTCGGTAGCACAGCTGCTGCTGCCTTGCTGCTCATCTTTGGTGCCTCCTCCTGATACCTCTGAGACGTCATCTCTCCGAGTCATCTCTCTCCGAGTCGTTCCTCCTCTCTCTCCCTCTATAAGAGTACGACGTCGCTATCGACGCCGAACACGTTAATGAACAAACTGCAGATCTGCGAGTGGCGAGCTAAGCCGGGGCCATCCCAGGACGCTCTCCACAGGCCGCAGCGCAACTCGACAGGCCCCACAAGAGCCTCCGTCCACACGCGGGCAGACAGCGACACCCTCGAGGAAAGTCAGGCTGACGCACTGATCGCAGCGACCAATCGCCATCGCCCGGGCAGCACACGCGGCGATGGGAACGCGCCGTCTGCAAACCGCCGGGGACAGGGGGGGGGGGAAATTCCCGTGCGCGCAACGCAGTCAAGGCGCTAATCCGCGGGGGTGCCATGATGTTTGGCCAGCGCTGGTGCACCGCGAGAGGCGCGGGGGTCGTCGTCTCACCTTGGCTCCTCATGGCGCTGTAGATGGCGCGGAAGCTGAGCGTGCTGTCTAGCACCAGCTGGAGGATGCCCAGAGAGACGGTGCCATCCAGGATCTTGCTGACCAGCTGCTGAAACGTCTTGAGGGCAGTCTGCATTAGCACCATCGCCTCTCTTGTCAGACTGTTTGTCAGACGTCGCTTGGTGCCTGCGGGGATCGTGTCATCATCATCATCATCGTCGTCATTCTCGTCGTCGTAGTCATTGTCGTCATCGTCGTCGTTATCATCATCATCGTCGTTGTCATCCTCATCATTGTCGTCATGATCGTCGTCATCATTGTCGTCATTATCATCATCGTTGTCATCACTGTCATTGTCGTCATCATCGTCGTAAGATCTCCCCCAACTTCCACGACAAAAATCCCAACTCGCGACGCTTTAAGTCGCCCCTCCCCTTCCCCGCCCAGAGCCGTGCGGTGGACAACTCAACCGTGCAGTCCGAGCAAGCGTGCCGAGTGCCTCCAGCCCAGCAGGTGCAGGACGACTTCCGCGTGCTCCTTGCTCGCTTGGCCATCCCTCCTCGGCCAGGCCTCCACCAGGATGCGCGACAGCACCTCGCCGCATTTCTGAAGCTCCTTCTCCGCCAGCCCCTCCTCCTCATTCTAGGGGAGAAAGAAAAAAGCCGCACGGAGAGAGGAATTCCTCTATGTAGTAATCGAGGTTGCCGCTCGGTTATCCTACGCAGGCGGATTGAACATGAAGCGGGTTTCTTCGCGTCTATCTACGCGTCTATCTACGCGTCTATCTACGCGTCTATCTACATGTCTGTCAGTCTCCATGTCTCGTACGTGTCTGCGTCGAAGTGTGTCTCTCTCTCTCTATACCTCTGGGTCTCTCTGCATCTCTCTATATTATCTCTCTGTGCATCTACACGTCTGTGGTGCTGCGTAGCTCATCAGCTGTCTGTCTGTGCCTACCTCCTCGTCTGCCCACTCATCTGGCATTGATGACCCGGAGGAAGTGGGGGCTGAGCCCCTCCCCCCTCCTCCTCCTTCAAACGAGCCCTTCCCCCATTATCTCATTGACATCAACATCGTGGTCTCCTCCCCTCACTATTACGGATATGTAACGTTAATTTAACGTGTATTTAGGTGTTATTATGCTATCGTGTAATGTTTATTCTGTGTTTAGTGAACAAAAGGATATCTTGGTGAGGCTATGGTGAGTGGGAACTGGCCGTGGTTCCCTAACCCCTACTTTACCAACCACAGATTTGCCTACCACAGCCGTTTCCAGGAACCTAACCTCCCGAGGTTGGTGAGGGATTGCTCTATTCGGCTGCTGCTTCAAATTTCCACACGATAAGCCCACTCCGTTGAACCATCAATTGTGGCCAAGGTGGCTTCTGAACAAGAGCTATGTAGCAGCTTGGTGGGCCTTACCTGCTTAAATGAAATTAGTTGAAGCGTTTAGTTTCATATGTCCGTTTGGGTATCTCTCTGTATCTCTATGTCTCTCTGTCTCCATCTATCTATGTGTCTGTATCCGTGTATGTATGCATCTGTCTCGTTGTCTCTCTGCATCTTGTCTCACTATTGTCATCTCTGTGCATCTGTATCTCTGTCGTTATGGGTGTGTCTCTTTGTATCTCTATGTGTCTCTCTACGTCTCTGTCTTCGTGTCTTCTCTGCATCCTGTCTCACCATGTCATCTCTGCGCATCTGCATATCTGTGGCTGTGTGTGTCTATCTCTCTGTATCTGTCTGAATTTCTACGCGTCTCTCCACGTCTCTGTCTCCGTGTCTCTCTGCATCTTGTCTCACCATAATCATCTCTGTGCATTTGCATCTCTACCGTTGTGTGAGACAAAGGCGGCCGTGGGCGGCGCTGGCCACCCACCCCTATCATGTGCTACCGTAGCGGCCTTCACAGGCACAGCTACTCGAGAACAGCGCTTGCCCCCCCCCCAACAGTCTGCTCACGCTGTACAGGGGAAGGGGGGGTGGTGGAGGACCATTGTGTTTGTCTAATCTCTGTGCATCCCTCTGTCAAACTCTGTCCCCATGCCCCGTCTCGCACCTGGCAGATGGACCACACGGTGTCCAGAGCGGCGCTCTCCAGGCAGTCGTAGAGCACCGGGTGAAGTGTCGCGCCCTTCCGCCTTGCGCGGAGGAACACGTCGAGCTGCTGCTGCGGCTCCTCCTTGCACGTGCACACACGACAAAAAGAGAAAGATCCCCCCGTGTAGATTGTAACAAACTGTAGGGGGCAAGTGCTGTTAGTGAGTAGTATCACCTATGAAGGCTGGAATGGCACACAAGGGGGTGGGTGGCCAGCATCACACCAGACCGCCTTTGTCTCCCCAGTGGCGGTTTACTTACACACCGCACCGGGTACTTATTTGAGGCTGAGTCGACCTAGGGGAGGCCCCAGGACCTGTTCGGATAATAATCACTGGGTATTGGCCGTGAGCGGGAATCGAACCTTGGCCACCGGGTTCATAGCGCATCGTGCTAACTGCTACACTACCGCTCCCCACAACACACACGCACCCTGCACATGCACTTATGTCATTGCAGCAGCCCTACGACAAAATATACTCGGGTCAATTATTAGCGAGCCTCTGCCCGAGACTGGGGGCGCTGTGTAAGTCAGTGGGCCTCTGGGCTTGCCTCTGGGTTTCTGCCCGAGACTCTGGGCTTCTGCGTAAGCCAGTGGGCCACTCTGTGAGCCTGTGGGCCTCTGGGCTTGCCCGTGGGTCTCTGCGCAAGCCAGTGGGCCTATGCGCTTGCCTGTAGGCCTCTGTGTGAGCTAGTGGGCATCTGGGCTTGCCTGTGGGTCTCTGCGCAAGCCAGTGGGCCTAGGTGCTTGCCTGTAGGCCTCTGTGTGAGCCTGTGGGCATCTGGGCTTGCCTGTGGATCTTTGCGCAAGCCAGTGGGCCTATACGCTTGCCTGTAGGCCTCTGTATGAGCCTGTGGGCATCTGGGCTTTCCTGTGGGTCTCTGCGCAAGCCAGTGGGCCTATGCGCTTGCCTGTAGGCCTCTGTGTGAGCCTGAGGGCCTCTGGGCTTGCCTGTAAGCCTCTGCGTGAGCCTCCACGTGAGCCTCTGCGCACACAGAGAGCCCCGCAAGCTCTCCCCACATGCAGGCCTCTGGCGAGTTCGGCTCGTGTCACGCAAGGGGACATCGGTCGCCTGTCCAACGAGGCGCGGCTGTGGAGTTCACGCCGAGTCGCTGCGGGTTTACGGGGCAGAGGTCGCGGCCGTCCTTCCTGCTCTTAGGGCGGTGCGCAGTGGACGGGCGGATCGGGGTTGGGCCCCGGTGCACGGGGGTGTACCTGGGTGACACGGCCCCTGGCATGGCTGAGCAGCTGCCGCACCCACAGCCGTTGGAGGTCGGCGTTGCTGAACTGGACGCCGAGGAACGCGCTCCAGATCTGGACAGAGATCAAGGACAGAGGCAAAGATGATCACCCCCCACTCCACCCCACTCCGTCCCAGAGAGAACCTTTCACGGACTATAGGGATAAGTGTCTATTATGGACAAGTGTCTGATTGCGAACAGAACCTATGAAGGGAGTGGGTTGGCCAGCAAACAAAGCCCCAGCGACAGTGCCGGAGTATCCTAGTAGCAACAGTAGCTACTACATATGTGTTACTACATATGTTGTAGCTACTACATATTTAGTAGCTACAACATATGTTGTAGCTACAGGCCCCGCACTTTCAAGGGCCCCGCGATAACTGCTTTCAAGCTAACAATTCCAGTTCAGTGATTTTGCACTTGCACTATTACTTTAGGACTTTACCGCCTTCAACTTTAATGAACGACCGGGAGTTTAAAGTTAGCGATTTGTCGTATTATCTGGCTCTATAGCAAATGAAAAAAATACAATTACTTAATTGTGCAAGTAAAAAATGTGTAAATTTTGATTTAAAGCTTTCGTGACTGCAGGGATTCATATTTTTGGTTCTTTCGGTAAAGTCACGTAGATTGGAAACAATAAAATAATAAAAATATAAAACAATAAAATTCTCACGACGTTTCGACTGCAACACAAGCAACCATCATCAGGTGTGAAAAGCACAGCAAGAAAATTTGAAAAAAAGGGCGGATTTTTCTTTACGTCAAGCATCGTGGCAGGCAACTCATTTGAGGCCGAGTCGACCTAGGGGAGGGCCCCCCAGGACTGGTTACAGATAATCGTCGACGGTGTTGGTGGCGGCCGTGAGCTGGACTCGAACTTGGGTCGCCGGGTTGGTAGGTGGTCCGGGGTGGCTAGGAGGTCAGAGGTTCTGAGCTGGCACGCCCGCGATCTTGGGTTCGAATCATTCCCGTCATCATTTAAGCAGCTTTTTTTTTTTAATCGGGGATTACAATCGCAGACAATCAGTTATGATTCTGTAGCTCGGCTCGAAATTATTTAGGCCTTTCTCAATGAGGAAGGAGAAGGGGCACCATTAAAATCCAACGGTGGTGTCAAGAAAACGCACTTGAACCGACTCCGTAGCTGTCAACCCGTACGGTTTAACCCCACATTCTTGAACAGGGAAATATAATTTTCCAGGTCCATTCGGTGAACAGCCGTTTCAATACGGGCACGAAAAAATGTGTCTATTTGTTTGTGTTTCTCCCTAGTAATGGGACTTTGTAGGATGAACGTTGAGATTTATAAGGGACACGGGGTGACCAATAAGGTCTGACTTGGTCAGAATTCAGTCGCCTTGTTTGGTTCACGGCTCAGTACGAAAAGCGGCCGGCAGATAAACCACCTGTTATGACGTTAGTGTAAGCATGCTGGCTTGGCGGTTGTGCAAGTGGAAAAAATAATGGGGGTAACGTATCAATCTATGTGGTGGCTTGGCTTGGCTCGGGTGTGTAGTGTAAAAATGAAGGGTGTGATGTATCAATTGATGTGTTGGCTTGGATCAGCTCGGGAGTGGTAGGGGGTAACGTGTGAATCAATGACGTTAGAGGTCCCGTGCTGACTCGGCTCGTCTTTGCCAGTGGGGAAAAAAAGAAAAAAGGAGGAAACGAAATGAACCCCAGAGGCACCTCCAGCTCAAGTGGCTCCTGCAGTGCCGCGTTGGCACTTTGCGGCACCAGCAGACGGTCGGGCAGCAGGGCGGCGACGCACAGCGCCACCCGCTCCAGGGCCTCCCGGCA